ATCTAGATTTCTAAACATCCCCTCTAAAATAGTAATACACCCACCAGCATGAATGGCTTTTTTTTGTTTAAAGTTAATTTTCATAGACATTTAGTTAAGTTAACGAATGATTTTTTTAGAAATTTTAAACTCAGTTTTAAGTGGCTGTATTCATTACTGTCGTTTATGTAAGTATTTTCTGTAATAGTTTGATTTAGTTTATTTTAAATTAAAAATATATAACTATATACATAAAATATTACCAAGTTTATATTGGTTTATATTTATATTGAATGCTTTTCATTGATATTTTATATAAATATAATTTATTTTTTAATTGAGACAAAGTACTTAATATCTTTTCGCTTTTTTAAATTTTACTTAACTTAATCGAGTTAGGTACATATTTTCACTAACTTTCCCAAACTTACTTTTGATAATATAAATACATATTTTGTGTATAGTTGAGCTCTAAACATATTATGGTAATATTAGGTCGATAAAACGTGATTTATTTAAAAAAAAAAACACACGTGAACAGTAGAGCTTTGTGATTATAGAGTCTAATTCCCCACACCTATTTTTTATTTTAGTAATATTCTCACAAAAATAAATGACCGAAATTTTAATAATATTATGATGTGCTACAATTGTACTAAAAAAGAAAAAAAAATTTTTTTTTTAAATGTGATTAGAAAAATGGTTTGGGGCAAAAAAGACACATATTGAATAATAACGCCACATATTTATACGAAATTGCATCCTCTAAGTTTCATTTGAGGAGTCTATAGGAGTGTAAAAAACTAAAAAAACACCCGTCACCGACAACAACATGGTTAAATATATATTGAAATTCAACTCAATGTTATCTCTTCAACTATTGCCTATATAAAATAACTCTAATTCTCGAGTTTGAACTCATTTGTTTTAAAGAGAGGAATGTCCAAAATCATATATTATATATGTGTATAAAAAAAATACAATAAAGCGCAATAGTATTTATTTTCAGAGAAATTCGACAAAAACTATTGAAAAAAAAACTTTTTAAATGTTTTAAATATTAAATGCTTTACATTTTTAAATTTGTCAGTAAGATAGGAACACTTTGGTTTAAAAATATAGCAAAAATAGGATGTTTTAATAGCTTAAAAGGCAACAAAGAAAAACACGTTATTCATAATAAGTAATAAAAATTCATTGGTTGACTCGACAATGGGAATATCTGATCATATTGTATGACTCATAATAATTTTATGTATAATACGTATTTCGTATGTGTATGTACCTACCACTATAACTACAGGTGTGGAATTTTCGATATTGTAACAAAGAGATGGGACATGTTTCAGCAAACCATATAAATCGTTCTTGAAAACGTAATAATTTGAGCAAAAATAAATTACAATGAAAAAAAAAAAATATGTTAACACAAACTGGTTCATCGTTGACTATCGTATAACGTTTTCGATCTGAACAAACCACTTTACTCGTAACAGGTATGCCACGATTGTATCAGTGTCCGTAGACTACGCTGTAATAAACGCATGTAAACGATTCGAATAATGGATTCATATCGATTTTTTTATGGGACCTATATTTATAATATTAATTCATCGTTTTGAATAAAACTAGTAAAATAGAGAAAATTAATATCAATAGATGTTATTATTCTGTGTCGTTGATAGTGGATTTCGTTGTTATAAAGTACGAACTTAACGTCATGAAAGAAAAAAAAAGATTAAATGTGTGAAAAATCAAATTCATACACTTTTTTTTTATTATTATTATTAATATTATCTTATAATCTGTTATCTTAAAATTAAAGTTGACTGTAAGTTATTCCACTTCGAATTTTAGGCTGGAGGAGAGTAGTGGTGCATTAACTATAAGTATTTAAATAAAAGTTTAAGGTACCAACGGTTTTCTAAAAATCTGCTTTATAAAATGATAATTTTGAATTTTTTTTTTTTTAATATACGGTTGTACATTTTTATTTTTTATTTCTTTAACCTAAATAATACTTTAAAATACTTAAACTTTGGCACAAAGATAATATATTAATTTATAAGAAATATACATATATATTTTTGATATATTTATGAACCTATAGATATTTCAGATCTGACATCTTTGTCTTACTTCTTGTATAAGACGCCACAGGATTTAATTGGAAAATAGTTAATGTGTCAAAAATCGTTTTTTTTTTAGATTGATGTATGCGAGCAAAACTCTTATAACTTGAGGGGATTTTTTAAACGACAGTTTTATAATCTATCCTCGGGGCCAAAAATGCCATTACACTTTCGAACAAACAATATTTTTCCAGATAAATATAAAAATAGATTCTTGACAACGTGGGCAAGGTCGCCGTGTTAATGTATGGCGCCGGTTTGTTATACTCTAATGAATTCTGCAGTCTGTGGATGACGTTTGATCATGGTAACGCGGCGGATAATTATATACCATGTGGCATGACAGATATCGACTATGTATTAATTATGTTTATCGTCGTTCGGTAACTCTATAAATATGAATAGTCAATGAATAGTTATTGTTTATTAATAATAGCGCGTTGGCGTTACATATATAATTATTGTCTTCAATTGGCTAATAAATACATACAAGAAATCATAGTCGTCTAGGTTAAACGTAAAAATAAAAACCAAATATTAATATTTTAATTGAAAACTTCAAATCCGGACATTAATTTATTTTTAAAATTTTAAAACTGTCTGATATTTTTGTATAATTTTTATCGTTTTTTTCTTTAGCAACGGTTCATCGTAGCTTATAGATATATATTAAATTACCTATAACAGTGGCTGCACCTTATCCTATTATTCTAGGACGTCTTTTTTTTTTTTTTTCGAATTGTTGGTATTATTTCCCATCACTCAAGAGTTCAGCTGACAGGTAGTTATAGGTATTAAATTATTTTCAAAGTCCCTAGGTAAAATTTAATATAGTAAAAACTATAGAAGGTATTTAATACGATTCGGAAAAATGGAATCCGGTAAAACGCGATTCGGCGAAATGGTTTTCGGCGATATGGGCCTAAATCGTATGTATACATTTTTGTGTTGTTATTAATAAATATCAATAACTATACATTATGATATTTTTGTTCAGTCTCACTTCTCCTGAACTCGTATTATCTGTAAATGTTTACTACTGTACATTAGGCGAACCTCGTATTTAATTAAAATAAATCATTTAAACTACTACGATAGCTACTATATATATAAAATATGTTTGTGTACATACCTATTACTAAATCTACAGGTTTGGAATTTTTTATATTGTAACGAAGAGATCGGACGTTCATTATAATTATACCTAATAGCCCAGTGGAAAGGGTTCATTCCCACGTCACCGATTCCCATTTTGTCGACATTTTATTTTGTTAATTCTTAATTGCGACGTACATTACTTGAAGTACACCTCATGATGACTCCATCCCACTATAGTACATGTTAAAATAATTCTTTTTGTCGTTGTAGTGTTGCATGGATTACACTAGTTTTCTTAAATTGTCATTGTACTAAACTGTAAAACTGTACTGAACTTAAATTATAAAAATAATAAGAAAAATTCTTTTGAACATCTATTTAATCGTTGATTACCTATTTGTATAGTCAATATTTTTTGTATTTTCGATAATAACTAAATTTATATATTTATTTACGGTCATGCCACAATTGCGGCGCTGGAATTTCTTTAGTAATAATAATTTCATTGCAACAGTTATATTTCAATTCAAAACAATAATATAATCGATTTATGTATCTGCGAAATGGGAAGATTTTTAATACCTTATAAAACCGGTTTATTTGTCGGCAAAATTGGAGTCGGCGATGTGGGAAGACACGGTGTAAAGTACATACTATCCAAACAAATTATAATTTATTATGATTAGTTAAAAATGTCCATTTAATATTCTCGCATAGGTGATTAAATGTCCAATAACAATCAAGATGTCCAATAACTATACTAATAACTACACTAATCTATACAAATTGGAAGAACACATTTCTTATTAGCGGATTTACAAATTAAAAAAATGTTCACAAAATACTGTTTTTTCCCAGTTTTTAACGTTCACTGAGAAAACTCCGGAGAAAATCGAAAAACAAATTCTCTAAAGTACCTCTCCAGTGAAATTTATTATCAGAAAAATTGCTGTTGTTATAAGTTGGATCAAAATTTCTGGTAGAAAACTTGTCCGCAGAAAAAAAAATTGTAATATCATATAAATATATATCATACATTTCCCTGATTTTTTTTTTTTGGTTTTTATATTTAATTATCTTTGTAGTAATATTGTTATGACCAGAGCAGTGCCTCATTTTAAGGACATGATTATATTTTTTATTTCTTTTATATTTGTTTTTCTTATGTATAGAGATTGGTGGTCTTTTGTTAGTTTTATATTGTTAGGTTAGGTTAGGTTATATTACTATAATTATTTATATCTTTGGAGGTTAATTTAGCATAATAATCATTAAAATGTTCCGCTATTATGGATGGATGCGTTTCATTCGTAGACATAATATCATATATTTCATAAAATTGCTGTTCTTATAAGTTGAAGCAAAATTTCTGGTAGAAGACTTGTCCACAGGAAAAAAATTGTAATATTATATAAATATATATCGTACATTTTCCCGGTTTTTTTTGGTTTTTCACATTTATTAAGAAAGCTCTTAAGAAAATCGAAAAATGATCTCTTCAAGGTACCTCTCCACACCGATTTTTTTTCAGTAAAGTTACTCTACGTTAAATTCGGAGCAATTCTTCGGGTAGAAAAGTTGTCCACAAAAAAAAAAAAAAAATAAACATCTTTGTAAAACAACACGCTTCATCGTTTCACTTAGAATCTAAAAGGTACTATATTTTTATTAAATTGTTTCACATGTTATTTATGTAGTATTGCGTGAAATATATATACTTTCAATGGCGCCTTGATAACAAGTACAAAATATATATCCAGGGCGGCTCTAATATTTAATCCGGCTCTAAAAATGGGTAAGTAATTACTATTCATTATACGTTCAGTGTTTTCATGATATATTAATGCTTGTTTTGTAATTATTCTGTATTTAAATATAAGTACAGAAGATGAAAATTTATTCATTCGCATAGGGCCGATCATAAAAATCATAACTGTTTTCAATTGTTAGCATATTGAATAAGTCGGTCTTTATGGGTAACCCTGAATTTCATATGTATTATTAAAAATCGACACAGAAAATCTTGACTATCTATTGACTGGTGAGTTGGGTGTAATGAAATTAAAATTTTTGATGTATGATTTCGAAATTAATTATTTTAAACTTGAATATTTAATTTAAAAAATAAATTTAGAAGCACGTTACTGACGTTACCTACTGTAATAACTAATAAATACAAAATAAATAAAACAAACTGTTTTCACGTTAATTTAATTTATTGACACGGCATCCTAATCGTAGATTAAAACAAATTAAGGTTAATTAAAAGATTAAGAAAAATAGATAAACGACCAGTGTTTGAAATGAAGGGAGACGTGGGAGGACGGAGTACCTCTTTCTTTTTAAAAAATATAACGTACCCCTTCTATTTTTTCTTAGGGAGTCGCCGAGGACGGGACTTGAGAAACTTGTTTTTCTGTTTTATTGAACTAATGCTAATTAAAAACGTTATTAATTATTTTAATTTAGGTATTTAAATAATTTTTTTAAAATTAGTTGTTTCAAAAAAGATATTAAAATATTTGATTTTGATAAGATCAATAAATGTGTTAATTATGGTATGTAAATTATCGCCGTCGAGTCGTAAATTCGTAACTGTAGAGTACCTAATTGATGGTCGTGGTTACCTCACTTAAGCATCTAGCCATGAAAGATCGACAACGCAACACGTCACGGTCTATATTTATACGGATTTCGGACGATAGTAAAGTTGTTGACTGTTCTGTATTATCGATTCAAAACCATATTCGTCACATTTAAAACGTGGTTGTAAAGCGCTTTGTAATTACGTTTGAATGAATTGAATATAATATAATATTGTGTTTTGTGTACAGTGGTATCGAGTGCGTGCCATTTTACCATATCGGTACCATGTGTCCCCAGACTAAAACGGTTTCGAGTTAATCAGAAATCGTAGGAAAATAATAAATCGTGTTAAGCTGCGTACACATGTGCGAGCCAAACCTACCGCGAACCGACAGGCGACAATTATTCGGACGGCGTGTCGAACGTCCAAAGAGCCGCCTCGCGCCGCCGATCCATCGAGAGTCGGTTTTTTTTTTTTTTTATTGACGAACACGACGCGAACCCGGTGTAAGTTTGGACTGCGCGTTGACGGGCTCGTCAGTTTTTGACGAGTACGAACGCCACCCGCCGGTAGTTCGGCACCGTAGATATTTTTATTATTTTTGACACGCAAACGGTTTTTACCCGCGTTCGTCGGATTATATTATTATGTTATACACTCGCGCGATAGCCGAGTGACCGACGACCGCGGAAACGCGGCTCAGTCAGTCCGCGGTCGTGTACCCGCCACCCGTTACCGTTGTTTAACGTATCGGTTATATGTGCGCATGTACGTGCTCTCTACAACTTCAGTGATTCGTTAATATTACTGTTTTACGTATTTTACGTACTGCGTACGCGTTAATAATATTATTGTATATTGAAAAAGTATACTTCAACCGCGGGTAAAAGAAATATACATTTATATTCATATTTTTCAACGAAAAACAAAACTGATGACGCTGAACACATTTTAGCACAACCAAAACCCATAGTAAATATTTATTACTTTATGCTAGAAAACTCCATGTAATAAATACATTTTTTTTTTTTAACGAATTGCAGAACCTGAGCACATTTTACTATTACACAGATTACTATTTTTTTGTAAAGGTAAAAGTTATTGTAAAACCCTTCGAAACTGATGAAAAATTATTATTAACTCGAGAACCACGAGATACATGACATTTTACTATTAATTTAATTTACTATACTAATTTATGTAACCGGATACTTTTTAATTTATGTTATAGTATGTACATAACATAAAATTGTTTTTATTGTCATTTTTTTTTTCATGTAATAATTATTTTTTACTTTGTAACTATTGTCTCATATATAATTTTTTAAAGTGTACTGTGACTTGTAAAGTTATAACATTAAAAAAATTAAAATAAATGTGTGTGTTCTTTCAAGAATAATGTATGATGAACCCATCATAACCCATCATCTGAACTTGCTGACTTGTCGTTGTAGTTACAAGAACGAAGTATGTCAATTTCAGCTGCAAATAATTGTATAAAATGTACAATATATATTGTATTAACATCTGAACACATAGCTTCATTAGTGTTTATTAGTTGCGTTGGACCACCTATTCAATTTTTTAAACCAAACAACTATGTAAAGAGTTGGATTAAACTTGGTAAAAGAAGTGCAGAAGAAACAATATATTATACATATTGTATTATATATATATATAATATTCTTATCAACATTTATGGGTATTGCAAATAATTTATGCATTATAAAATGAAAATATTAGAATTTACAACAGTTGTTATTAAAAAATTATTGCTATTAACTAGTTCGGTTAATAGTGTTGCTTTGTAAACAATATAAATTTCATATTATAGTAAATTATATATTATCTTTAATAATTTTTGTTGAATATTATTTTTATTTTACCGTTTTTTTACAATTTTTTCTTTTTTATTTTAAAAATTCCTTGGAAAATCAAAATATGGCCTCCTTAAAATACTACTCCAGTTATATTTCCTTTCAGAAAAAGTGCTACGTTTGAAATCCGAAGCAAAGTGTATGGTACAAAAGTTGTTCACAGATGAAAAAAAAATAAAATAAACATCATTGTAAAGCCAATACATTTTTTTTTTATGTTATTTTTATTTTAGGAGAGAAAAAAAATGTAATTCTTCTCTAAGTGGATGCCCCCTTCAAAGAAATCACATTGAAAAAAAAATTAATTTTTAATAGCTCTATACAAATCCGTAGAACGTGGTGGGACACCTGTAAAAATACTGATTAGCAACTTCAAGTTTTTCAATGACGTATAATTCAATGATAAACACTAATAAAAATAGAATTTTAATATCCAAATAATCCGAAATTTAATTATTATAAAACAATAATTACACCTGCCTGCTAGTTTTTGTTTATGATAGTTTTGTAAATATTTATTTAAGATCAAAGGAACGGTTGTCCGTTAAACAATAGTCAACAAATCAAAAACACGTTATCCTTATACAGTTACACGCGAACTTTAATATTATGGGGGGAAGTCGTTAATGTTGTATTATATGATCCTTGAACTAAACCGCGAAACTGCAACAGAACCAAAGATCAGTACACCAACAGCCACAGCCGCGGGAAGTATTATTATATAATAGTCTAACACGTAAAATTATACATTTTATCTACATATAAATTAACAAGCGCTTGGAATTTTTAAATTTTGCTCAATTTTCTTGGATTATTGCACTATTTTAAGGTAAGGATAAATATTTAATTTTATAATTCATATTTAGTGCAAAATTAGAATCTAAACAAAGGACAACATAGCGTTGTGATGAAAACCATGATAATTTTTTCCTCGTAAGGTATCTTTTGTAAATAAGATTCTTTTTGTCTGGTAAATATCAAATAAAAATATAATATTAGATTTAGGTAGCTTTTTATAATATCTTATATTGCTTTTAGTTGGACTGTTTATGTTCTATTAGTATTATTAAAGATTTTTTTTTTTTGTATTAGGTAAGTTCTAATCTAAAATACATAGTTGCAAACTTTAAGACCTAATTTATAATTAATATATACATAAAATAACAATTAATTAATATATTTTCATATCAGTTATTGGTACTTGAATCATATAATACACTTCATTTTTTTATATATTTTATATAATATTTTTTTCTGAAAATAACTTTTGTTGTGTTAAAAAACCATAATGTATATTAGGTTGGTATATTTTTGCTTTACAATCCGTATCTGGAAATATTACTAAGGTGCTATATACAACAAATACATATGTTGTGTCTTATACATACTGGTGGTGTAGCTAGGACGTTTATGAGAGGGTTGTGTCATGAACATTTATAACTAAAATGTATACTATAACTATGAGGAGATACAGAAATCCAAAACAAAGTACATTTTAAAATTTAGGTCCTTCATTATAAAAGAAAACCCTCTCTTAAAAAAATTGGTCAATGTGTATATTATTCTACCCATTTGCCCATAGCTCATCTCCATCTATATACATTTTTTACTTATCTGTTTACTCTACTATTACTTTTTCTATAATCAACTATAAAAACTAATTAGGTGTTTGAAATCATAATGTCAACTCATTTGGTTTGTGTTTTTATGATGAAAATATTTTGTAATTTGAAGAATTTTAAGTAAACTTAAAATTATACAAGTATAAATATTTAAATTAATTATTTTTAAAGTTAAACATTTAAATAAATTAACAAATACAAAACTTTATTAATATGTCCCCTACATATTTATATTTATTTATTTATTATTTATAATTTTCAAAGAAAAAATGTACAATTGCATGTACTTAACACTATTGTTAAGGACATAGGACAATGCATCAAAAAAAGAGTACTGTTCAACGGAAAGTACAAGTAGGTCTGGTCATCATAACTATAACACATAATTTGATTAACATATAACATAAATAATAAACGAACGAATATTGAGAATATGGCATGTCTCACACTTGATATTTTACATTTTGTTTTGAGTGTAACATAGTATTGCAGAAATGAAAATAAAAGGTTTGGGCCTTATACCTCTTTGGGGGTTGATGTATCATACCCTTTGAGAACGCCACTAGTATATACATTTTATCTATATAGGTATTTTAAATGTGTTATCGTTACAATTGTAGCAGGTATTTCAACAAGTTCTTTACAACCAATGTTGCTTAAAGATAACTTTAAAATTATTTGGATAAGATAATAGATATTGCGTTAATAATTTATCTAGGTAAAATAATAGGTATAAATAAACAAATTTCATCTAGACAAAATATAAAATAACCTCATTTTAATCTAGATAAAACCAAATAATTTTTTGATTTTTAGGTTTTAAGAACTTTCGCAAAATTTGAAACCTGTGAAATAGTAAAATATAATTTTAAATTCAGGTAAACTAATAATGTATTGAGTTCACTATGATGTGTGCTTATTTTTTCTGTCTATGAGCAACTTTTCTACAAGATAAATTGTTTCAATCAAAAAATGGCAAGAGATCTTTTTTGTTGCATTTTTTGGCAAATTTGATGGACATATGATTTTTTTCAAGCAGTTTTCTCAATAGTTTAGAGAACATGTAAGAAAAAGGGATTAGTTAACTGTATAACGGTTTCATTATGTTCAATTTTGGTTTTTGTTTTAAATCTGTTAAAAATAGAACCATAGAGTCTTGGAATTTAATGGTAATATTGTCATAATATTCTAGTGATTTGTTAGTTATTTAAAAACATTTAACATTTTTGAGTTTTTTTTTTAGACAGAATTAAAAACACTCTTTATTTTAGTAAAACTCATGTATTTTTCGATACGTTTAGAATCTAAGATATATCTACGATTTATTATAGTTATTATTTAAATATTGCCTTGGACCAAAATCGTAGGCACTGCATACCTGTTTTGTTAGATTTCTATAATATATCCGTGACATATATGATTATATTTTCCCTTAAATTATATAATTACACATGTGTATAAAAGTAATTATAAATTATAATATAAATTGCAATATATTGAATATAACATTCAAACATGAATAGCACTATAGTTTTACCTAGAGAGATTGTAAAGATAAATACCTAATTTATAATTATTTAACTATAGTCTTTCTGTTTACGTATCAACCAATTTTGGTTTAAATATCACATAATGAGTAAAAACACTAAATTGCCCAACGGAAAATTGTTATAACGAATAAATATAGTGCAATGCAAACAGTGAAAATTGTAATGTTTAAATAATTAAAGTAAACAAATATAGTAAATAAATATATATAAAAAAAATGCATCTACACATTTTTTACTATATTTATTTATTTTATTTATTTACGAGTATTAACCGTTTTAATAATTTTGCTTTTACTTTATTATTTTATTATTTAAATAATTCAAATTGCGCTGTAATGTTCACCATACACAATAATCATCGTTGACGACTATAATATCTAATACCCTAGATTGACGGTAAATTTGTCATCTACATCTGAAATTTTGTAACAAGTGGCTCAGCTTTATAAGTAAATTACTAATTATGGTAGATTACGAATAAAATAATATCTGGTAACTCCAAATATGTTCTACGTTATTGTTAATACTGTTAATGTAAGTCGAACAAATTGAAAAAAAAAGAGCTGATACTGGGGACTGTTGCGACCACTGTTGTTATAGTTATGTACTTGGAAGGTGGGATACATAAAGTTATATTATGTATACCTGTAACCAACAATAAACCATACTTAACGAAAAACGATTCGAAGCGAAGTTCGGTTATACGTGTTTGAAAAGTCATAATGTTTACGATTTTCGTTAAATTTCGATTTTAATACAAATAAAAAATACTACATTACACTTAATTTTTTTTTTTTTGTCAAATAACTACAACACATTATAGTTAACCTTATGTAAAATGTTCAAGCATTTGTGTTAAGTCTGATAATTGTATCTACAAAGTATACCTACCAAATAAAAATAACTTACAAAATTCGTAAAATTGAACTAAAAATAGCTCGAAAATCACTTAACATTTTTAAAATTTTACTACGTATAGAAAAAGCAAATATAAGTTTTTTTCAAAATGTTAAGTCTATAAATAGTTTTAACTCATATATATGTGTATATATAATTTTATTTCGGATTTTTCCTAATTTTTTTGAAATTCAAAGAATAATCTCGCTAATGCACTAATTAGACAAAATTTCCTCTTAGAAAAGATACTGTACACTATAAATTGGAGTAAGAATTTTTTTTTGGAAAGTTGTTTTGAGTCAGAAAAATAAAAATACACACATCGTAGTAAAACCAATAGATCCCTCGCTACGTTCCGAATCTAAAATATTAAACGTAAAGTATTTTATAAACTGATTATATTAAAGATATAAAAGAAAGATAATTTGTATGCAATAAATAATAATGTATTGCAATCGCGAGATTTTATATGGATAAGAGAATATAAAATATAGTACTAATTGAGAATGATAAATACATGATTTTTTAGATTACAGACGAAGCAATTAAATATCTTGTTTATTATTTTTTTTTTTTTCATAGTTTTGTTTGTATTGTTTTTGCGTCAACACTCCAGAAAACACTTTTCGGTTCAGTGACCTAGAGTATTCATCACTGTATATAACATTTTATAGACGTACTACGTATGTAATAAGCAGGTCTCCGGGCTTAGAGCACTTAAAATCATCAATAAAGACCTTTAAAAACTTCATTATAAACCCTGAAATTAGAAAATAGATTTCCTTATTTCGTGAGCAATATGACATTCATTTCCATAGCATCACGTATCGTTGCTGAATTCAATGTCATTCAAAACATAAAAAAATACTACAAGTCCCGAACCCTGTAATAAGTTACTATAAGTAGTATGTGTACGAGTAAGTATATCATCAGTATTTTGTTTAATAAACGGCCCAAGGAAGATTTTTCATTTCAAACTGCCTTTTAAACCTTTTTAAAAAAAATGTATTAACATAAATACAACAGTATAGGTAGGTAACTTAACAAATTTCTGGGAATTACTCCAACCTTCAAATTAAATTTATTATGTTATACATTTTTGTGTAGTCAATTGGAATAAACACAATAAATTATATTATGCTATTATTGTATTAATATAATATAGGCACATGAATGCATAAAATATATCTTTTAAATTATTAAAACTGCCTGGTAAAATAATGTATTACACATCTAGGCTGCAAACTGGTTATATTATATTATGCAGGAACTGTACTTCATCAACTCATCGATGAATAATATTGTATTTTTTATTTTCAATCGTTTGACAAAAACCCAATTAAGTAATTTAATTAACATAGTATATATTGTGCTATAGATTACGATCTTTAAAACTAAAAAATAAAAATACATTTTTTTTTCTATTCATTTATTATTATAAGATCAAGTAGGTGGTATATGCGCGAGCGACATACCTTGGCGGGGTTATTGTTAATACCGTCTAATATTATGACGGAGATCTATCATCATATTATATTAATGATTTTATAATAATATATTATTATATTATTAGAAATAGAAAATTAAAAACTAATCATTTTAATAAATAATAGCAATCGATTGACGCGATTAATAAGGACGTCGAGTAATTTTTAAATTCCGAATCTTTTAAGATATTTGTGTGTGGTGTAGGAGATGTTCTGTATGGAAAAATCGGAGCATTTTTGAAAGTCTTTTCCGAGGTGAAAAAAATAAATCTTAGTAAAATCCATAGTTTCTTTGCTACACTCAGAATTTAAATATAATAATAATTCTCCATGATTATTGGATCAACTGAGTTTTAACGGACAAAAAAGAGAAAAAAGACTTTAACGTACGTGGTTATCAAAAATATTACAAACAATAAATTAGAAAATATAATCGACTTACAGCTTAACATGTAGGACAATATCGTTTAAGTATGTATCATTTTATTAAATCTTATAATAAACCCGTTATCCATCTGTAATGCTTTGTAAATTTACTATGCCAGCCAAGTATTATAAAAAATCCATTAAGACCCGTTATGCTCGTAAGACGGACGTCGAGTCTATAAAACTATAGTACCAATTTATTCACGATTATACTCGTATTATATTTCGCATATCTACTTTATAGTACCTGCTACTATTTTTTTTTCCAATTTGCAACAAATACTATTTTCCCACTTTAAATATAGCATTATAATTTATTACCTACTTATCAATTAGTATTTATACATAACGTATTTATTATTCACTCGAATGTCATGGTCACTGGGAAAAACAAAAAGATTCTACTGCCAGTGGTCAGTAAAGTACAGTACAGCTGTAATAAAACAATAATCGTATTGTTACGTCAATTTTGTTTTTAAGACCGTATACATCGATAAATAATGCTATATAAGTATAATAGTACATTACCGGTATAACCGCATTCCTTCTCAAGAATTGGCGTTCCAGTAATCTGTGTATTATTTTTGGAATAGGCTTAATATGTTTATAATGACACACCTTATAAAAAAAAAAAAATTGAAAATAATAAGTAAAATGGCTACACCTATATTTGACCTTATATTTTAAATCTTATGTTGTTGAGCGAAGAAGCTATATTTTTTATGTGTACAAATTAAACTTTTATTTTTAATATTTAATACTTATATTTTCATAATGACAAAAACAGAGCTGATACCTACTGATTATGGGTGCGCCACTATCAGTGTTGAATTAGGGGGTATAGCTCCCCTGTTTTTAATTAATACCCCCCTACCGGAACATTTTCTGGATTCAACACTGGCCACTATTATAGGTTGATAGTTAGTGGGAAAATAAAATACACAAAATGATTTGATTTAGATCTGTAAGCAACGGTAGACCAATCATAGCTAACGAAGAACGATTCTTAGCAAAACTCGGGTACACATGATTTTAAAGAATATTTACGAATTTCATCAAAATTTAATCCTAAAACCATTGTAAAAAAAAAAAAAAAATATTACTACACAATTTTTTTTACCGCTAAGTACCAAATGAAACATTTATTAAATTTTTAAGTAATCTCAAATAATTATATCCACATAGAATCATCCAAATAAAAACTACGTAAAAAACTTGAAAACATAAAATTTCCATCAATAGTTCAAAAGTCTGATCATGTTAGGAAAATGCAAATATAAATTTTCTGTTAAAATTTCAAGTTTCTACGAATGTTTTTAACTGAATTACAATAAAAACATAAAATTGAAAATAATAAAACCATTATTACCGTAAACTTTCCTGATATTTCTACATTTTATTCTTATTTACTTTTTGATTAAAAACTATTCAAAAATTGTAATTCTTAATCACCGACTAGGTATAAATTTTAACAAAAAATTTTACTTGACGTTCTTCGATTAGAGCAATATTTTTGATAGATTTTAAAAATATAACAATGCAATCGTACGTACGCCATAAATTTGTGAGTTTTCATTTGAGCTTTTTTCCCGGTTTTTTCCAATTCGAAAAGTTGTTCACAGACAGAAAAAAACTACAAATATAAAAATACATCATGGTAAATCCAATAGATCTCTCACTACGCTTTGAATCTAAAAATGCTAATAATGCGCGATATACTTATAGATTTATAAAAAAAAAAAAAAACTAAAAACAAAAATTGTTATAGAAATACTCGAAAATTTAATGACACAATAGATAAATGAAAGATATCATATATCTATGTACAGGATGATCACTCCATTTTAGATTCCGAGCATATTGAGGGAGCTATTGGTTTAAGTAAGGTGCTTATTTTTTTTCTTTGTTCTTTGTTCTAGTCTGTGGACATGTTTAATCCTGGTAAACTTGCTCCGATTTTTTTGTGTAGCAGATTTTTCTGAAAGCTCAAGTTGTCTAGATTGAACTTTAAAAAAATTATTCTTTTGGTTTTTGACGCCATTTTTTTAAATAAAAGCATTTAAGTGGAAAAAAACGTTTTCAAAACGTACAATTTTACGATTTTATTATTTTATAAAACACGGACGATGTTTTCTACCGAAAAAAATGATTTACACAAAAAATCACAAGACACCTTTTTTTTGTTGCCTTTTTAATTATCTTTCTTAAGGTATCATCGCCAAAACTTTTGAGCTTTTAAACAATTTTAATTTTTAGGAATTTTTTTACTGTAATTCGGTTATAGATACATGTAGAGACTTGAAACTTGATAATAATACTTATATTGGACTTACCTAGACGTGATAAATATTCCAAAATCATTGAACAACTTTTTATTTTTTTTTAATAAGTGTTTTGAAATTAAATTTAAACGAAAAACGTAAAAAAAAATTACGGAAATTCAAATTATGTATTAACATAACCTTTCCACCTACAACAATGGCACACCCATCAGCAGTTTCAATACTTTTTACTGCTTTACTAATTTAATATTATTATTTAAAAAACACATGTTGTATACTTGGAATATTGGAATATGAGGAAGATAAGATAGAGTTTTTTAATTTATTATTGTATGCATTGATAAATCATTGCTATCGAAAAAAGATTCTGAGTGGATGTCGATAAAGCGATTTTTTAAAATCATTTGTGATACAACACATATTAATTTATGAATTGTATAGTTAAACATTATCACCGTCTCCTCTGTTTATCACCTGTTTATTACTTCTGCCACCACATTCAAATACCAATCACACCATCCGGCCGAATTTCCCCTATCCAATGTCACACCATGTCACGTTACGCGAAATTACGTGATTTATAAATTTTAAATGTCTATGAATACCTAACTCAAATGTCTATAAAATTCTAAACTAATTATTCTGTGAAAATGTCAGGTTTCTACCGCTATTATTTTTTTTAATCTAAAATTACGATACAAAGAGAAAATCGAAAATAATTTAATCGAAAGTTTTCCCGTTTTCCTGAGATCTTTTTCAATTATTCCCAATTAATAGAACATTTCAAAGAAAAAGAAAAAAAAAATCGTATTTAATGCATCAATTTTAATCCAACAAAAAAGGCTTCTTGATAATTTTTGATCAGAACACGATTTCAAATAGAAAAGTTATTAACAAACACAAAAAAAAATATAATAATAATTATATACTTACATCCGTAGTCAAATTAATACCTTTATCGTTCCACTTAAAATCGAATTAATATAACATTTGTTGGTTATTAATGTATGCGTATTTTAAATAAATTTAGTTGAACGGGTTCTACAAAAAATTAAAAATATCAAAATATCGTACTCCTAAACGAGTAAACAGAATGAACTTATGTGTATTTATGTTAATTTTTGCAGTGTACATATGTTGATGTAAATTAATATATTATATTTACAAGCACTGTATACACAGGTTTTATTTAAAATATGAATTCTATACCGTTTAAATATCGTGTGTTTGGTTTTTTTAATATTTGCAGCATGGACTTCCTCTGTTTTTATTTTCTTTAAGAATCTGAAAAATGAATTGGCCAATTGCCATCATACGTAGACATATTTTATATTCTTTTGTGACAAGTTACTGTAAAAGAATATTCATTAGGTATTAACATTTAAATAGTTGGATGTGGTTCACATCAGGAAGGGCTGATATAGTTGGTTGGAAGTTTTAAAGTTATAAAAAATAGGGTTATTTTTTTTATTAATATACCATAAAAACTATAAATTGTCAAAATCAAAATACGATTCAGAGGAAAATTGAAAACTTTACTATCCTACAAAAAAAAAATTCTCATTTTGTAAAATTATTTATGGTTACAATTTTAATTTAGACATGGTAATTTATTTTCTAAAATTGTTTACAATTTTTGAAAATATTTGGTTTTGATTTTTTTATTCATAAACGAAAATAATATGTTTTACTTGATAAATTAATTACAGCAGGTGAAATTTCTGATGGTAGACAACCACTGAATGGTGACACTCCTTTTCTTGTTATAGATGAACAGTTTTATTTAATTATAACAATTATTTATTAAAATTGAATAAGGAAAAAATTGGTATGATCTGATGAGTACTGTTTAAGTATTATGGTAGATCAAAAGCAAAATAATGTTTTGAATTTTTAGTTAAAATTATTGCAGAAAATAATTAAATATATTTGAATAAAAGTTTTAACTACCAACAGTTTTCTAAGAATCAACTTTAAAAAGATTTCCTTGGATAATGGGACAGGTACAGCCACATTTATAAATTATTTTTTTGTATACCTGTAAGCAAGGATAATCCATTGCCACGAAAAAACGATTCTAAGTGGACTTCAGCTGATAATGATGTCATTGTCAACAATATGTATGTCATATTATAGTAAAATATTAAAGTAGGCTTTATTTTTTTTTAACAATATTTGTTAAATGTTGTACCGATTTCCCTAGTTTTCTGACGTTTATCTTATGTTTTATCCCTGTTTTTCACATTTACTGGTAATATTCTTAGGAAAATCGAAATAATAATCTCCTTAAAGTATCTCTTCAGTCAAATTTATTTTTAGAAAAAGTGCTATCGTTGTGAATCGGAGCAAAATTGCTGGTAGAAAAGTTTTACTCAGAGAAAAAGGCCATCATATATTTTTACTAAGATCTACATTTCGTATATTTTCCGTTTTTTCAACATTTTATCCCGGTTTTTTAAAAAAACCACTTGAAAATTCGAAAAATGACCTCCCTAAGTTACCACGGAGATAATATTTTCTTTCAGAAAATAAACTACACTTGATACATCGGACCAAGATTTCTGGTAGAAAAATTTGCACAGTAAATCGAAGAGTATTTCGTGATTAAATTGTCCGAGCGAGCAATGGCTTGAGTCTCTAGATATACCTAAAATGCATTTGTTTTGTCCTTGATTAGGTAATAGGGAAAAAAACATGCTAAACATTATTTTTTTCGAAACCAGGGTTTGAACTCGGGACCCCAAGGATGTTAATAAGAACTTATTATTAGATCACGACAAATATTCTTCGGAAATGGCAATATAGAGTTATTTAACATAACATATAATATCCAAATAATAACAGAAATTCAAAAAGCTATAATTTCGAAACGCTCAATTCTGACTTCACTGTCGTTCTTAATTTGGCAATATACATGGTAAAAAAAAAAAAAAAAAAATTAAAAATTAGATATGTTCTACATTATATTTTACTAAACCAATTTCGTCAAAACTTGATATTAAAATCCCATTAAAAAAAAAAATACTACATTAAACTTAATTTTTTTTTTTACCACAAAGTAAGACTTTTAATGAACCTGCTATTAAATTTTCAAGCATTTCTGTTTAAGCCTAACAGTTTTACCTTTCAAAAATGATGCCGCGCGTAAAACCAATACACTTTTCGCCACACCCAGTATCTAAAAATGGTTATTTTTCGATTTTTCAATCTTTTATTTAAACAATAAATTTTATCCTCGTAATACTTACTAAACTGTGGGGTTGTGCCAGTAAGTTTAATTTTGGTATTTTGGTATTTTGGTATATATATTTAATATGACGCTATCAAAATATCGTCCTTCGTATCATCACTGCAGCCTACCGGTTTGAATAAAAACGATGCAACTCAACGCCGTATGATACTGTCTACAATAGCAGATGAAATCCAAAAGTTTAATAGCAAACACGAGATGAGGCTAAATCACCTTGTCAATCCAAATGGACATTCAAGTATTAGACAACTCCGAGGAAATTTAGACGTTTTATGCGTCTGAAACCATGTGACTTAATTTAGAATCTAAATTAAATGCAGGAGCATTATTTTAAATTGAATTACAATAAAAGACAATGAAACCATTAATGCCGTAAACTTTCCCGTTTTTCCTACGTTTTTTTTCCCCAAATATTCCTTATTAGTTATTATTTAGAAAACTAGTTGGTAAATTAACAATTTACTTTCTCTTCGCACCAACTAGATCCAAAATGTAACAAAAAAGTGTTTTGTTTTTTTTTTGATATGAACAATATTTGTGAATAAGAAGTTATTCTCATAGACGACAGAAAAAAAAGAACACCTTTATAGTAAAACGAAAAAAAATACATTTCTCGTTGCGTTGAGGGTCTTAAACAGTGCATACTTATTTAACAATTATCGCAATATTGCCAAGCTACGAGTACCTAATAATATATTATGCGTATGATGATATATTATTACGTATACATATTATTATCATCTATGTATTTTACAGAATAATGACGATAAATAAATGGTCTTATGCAATTATTATGTTATAATTATAATTGTTAACTGGATTTTTTTTTTTTTTTTTATTATTATTATTATTTAATCATTTTACGGAAAAAGTATGATTACGTAATTATTCCAGTTTATATTCTAATCCAGTGGTGGCCAAACTGGTTTTGGTAGAGATCTTCTAAGAATATCAATTCTGATTTATCTAATAATTTTATAAAAATAAATTCTAACAAAGCGAGATTGACATTGAAATCGTCCGCGACCTACGATCGCAATCGTCTGTTTGACCGCTACTGGTCTATAATAAGTAGGTACTCGTACAAAATATAAACAACCATTAACTATAATTTAAGATCGTTACGAATGTAACTGCAGTGATACAAGTATCAAAATCATATTAAACACATCTACAATTATTCGCATTAAAGTAAATTTGAATCAAGATCAAGTAAATACGTAGGTATTACAGCGTTAAGTACTAAGGTTATTGCAAAAGTAGAAAAAAAAAAAACGATTTGTAAATAATCCGTTTATACGCATTAAATAATTCTACCTACTGCGACATTATATTCTACTATTATAAAATAAAGCGTGTTATAAAAATTAGATTTTGTAATTTTTTTTTTATGGGATGTCGATAGCGCACACTTTTGATGACACATAAATTTACTTGTATCAGTGGGGTTTTAGAGGCTAAACTGGGTGTATACCCGTTTATCATTTGGTGAATTATTGCGCACCTGTAAAAATATTTTAAAAACGCACGTATAGACTCGCTCGTGTATCCTATTTTTTTTTTTTTTTTTTAAAAAAAATATGCATATGGCTTGTTTGAGATTTACAAATTAAGCAATTATTTACTTCACGACATCACAATTAACGATATGAGATAAATTATTTTTGACCCGTACAATTAACCTAAATATTCGATGTCTGAGTTCTAGGATTTTTTAAAAACATTTCCATGTTCTGCAACGGAATGTGAACGAGGGTTCTATCGTATGAATCACGAATAGTATTTTTAATAACATTCGTTTTACGATTAATTTTAAATAATATTCCTAATTTAATGTTTATAAATTTAAACGGGCCTCCAATAAGTATTTGGAATCTTGAAGACTGTATAAAATTGGCTGATAAAACATCCATTTGCCGAAGATACTAAGTATAAAATAGCAAAAAAAAATGTAGATTATACCATGGACAATTAAAAGTAGATTAGAGTTCCTATAGTATTTTGTTTTCTGCAACTTAATATGTTATGTTCCTCCTTAAAATTGTTTACGTTTTTCTTTATTAACGTTTCATGTTGTTACTCATTACATTATACTTTTGTATATTATTATAAGTGGTATAATATACAAAAAGACGTCCTAGGGTAATAGGAACGGGTGCATTTATTGTTATATATAATTTTATGTATATCTGTAAGCAACGATAAATCATTGCTCACGAAAAAACGATTCTGAGTGGAGTTCAGTTGATAATGATGCATTGTCAACAGTATATATGTTATATTACAGTAAAATAATTAAATAGCCTTTGTGTATTTTCTTTAATAATATTTGTTTAATGTTGTACCGATTTTCCCATGTTTTATCCCGGTTCTTCACATTTGCTAGAAAATTCTTAGGAAAATGACATTCCTAAAGTACCTCTCTAGTGAAATTTCCTTTTGGAAACATTGTTATCATTAAAAGTTGGAGCGAAATTGCTGGTTGAAAATAAGTTTCTTTGCTCCACTCAGAATCTAAAAATAAATAAATATCGAAACAAAATCGTAGCTTGCAAGAGTATTAATAAGTAATTATTATTGAAGTATGTTGAAAAAGTGCTGTAATGGTGACGTGAAAGATGGAGACATATGGGGTACATGTTAGGTTGAGTTCAATAATTGCAATGTCAATTATTACTCTTAAATATAGAAAAAACTTAAAAAGTTTGTTTCAGTATTAACTCACGGTTTTTAATTTGAAATATTGGATCGGTTATTGATTTTATTTATATTTTTATCCGTAAAATATATCGAATTATTATTAACATAAAAGTTTTTTAAAATAGCAAAAAAAAAAAGGAAGTAATAAATATTCATGTTACAATGCTATTGTAGGGTTTTAAAATAAGCACTATTATAGGTGTATAAATAAAATAAATGTTGTCGTTAACTTACCTGGAATAACTTAGCACGGAGATTGCAGCCCAAATAAACAAAACCAGTGGTTTTCTGTATTATTTGATGTTGCATTTACAAGAAATATTTATTATGACACAGTAAAGTATTCGCATTTACAATTCAAAAATGAATATTATAAACGTTAAATTTATAATTTTTATTTTATTGCATTATTTTATTTGCATTAGTATTATTCAGTACTACTGTGATTACTGATATGTGATTTGTGGCAGGAATACATAAAAAAAAATGGTAATACATAACACATGTAGTAAAGTAAACTATTAAAATATTAAAACTATTCACTCGAATAGCCTAAATGAATCGAATATACAAATTTGGCAATTGAGATACAATTACTAAAAAATACCTCTACCATCGTTGAGCACTTGTACCGATTAATCTATAAAACAAAGAAAAATTTTCTTTAAGTAATAATACGTAATATAATTTTAAAAATACCCGAATATTTTTAAGTTATTTATTGCTATTTTAAACTTTCGACTTTTTTCTTTTGGCCAATGTCCATACAATTTATTGGTTACATAAAAATTTGATATAAGATTCATAGTAAAATAAACAAATACTGAAAATCCATAATTTCAACTATGAATTCTAAGGCATTTTTGAATTTTAAGTTTATAATAAAACTCATTGAAAATAATTAATAGCTAATTTGGAACAATTGTATTATTAATAAAATTGAAACTAATCGAAAAATGCTTAACCGAATTATACTCAAACATTTTTTTTTTGTAAAAATAAAAATACCATATAATACATATTTTTATTATTTTTCCAACTTCTCATCTACAACAGTGCTCTACTCATAAACAGTAGCCTTAAATTTATTTAAATATTATTGTATAATTTTTGCAGTTGTTCAAAAAATAGCGAAAATTCTAAAGATGGAAGACGTCAATCTCACCTCTAATCATACAAATGATATTGGCAACAAAGCAGTCATGATAATTGATGCTTACAAAGCATACAGCTCATCGATTGTTGTACTAAATGGATTTAACATGAACGTGGAGAAAGGGACTATGTGATTATAAAATATTTTTTTTAAAATTATTTCTATTATTTTCTGTAAAACTATCTGATTATTAATATGTATTATAAAATAAAATATTAATTTTGTCCAATAGATATGGCTTGTTAGGGCCAAGTGGATGTGGTAAAACAACATTGCTCTCTTGTATAATCGGGCAAAGTAGATTAGACGCTGGGCACATCAAATTATCCATAAATAAGAAAAAAGATATTGGTTATATGCCACAAGTAATTATAACTTTAATAAATTTTAACTAAATTAATAATATTAAAAGAAATGAAAATCAAATACATTAAAATTAACACAAGTACAAGACCCATTAAATTTAAATTGAAAGTAAGGTACCTAATAAAAATTGTCTAGCTGATATGATTTTTTTTAAAAAAAAAAGATAACATAGTATATAAAATTAGTATAATTATAATATTCTACATTGAAATTATACTTAAATGGAGAAATGTATGAACACCTAATTTTAGTTGTTTGTTGTCTTTCATTGTTTTTTAAACCCTCTTTTTTTCTCACTAGCTTAATAATACCTAATATAATTTTATGTAAAATGAAAATGAATTTTCATTCAGGAGTTAGCACTTTACAATGAATTTAATATATTGGAAACTCTTCATTATTTTGGGTTATTGTATGAAATGTGTTACGAAGATATCATTTCTAAAGGAGAAAAGTTGATGAAAATTATGGAACTCTCGTCAGTTAAAACTCAATTTGGTTCACTGAGGTAAATTCAAAATATGATGTAAAATGTAAAATTTAATTTTTAATTAACAATGTATTACCTATAGCGGCGGGCAACAAAGAAGATTCTCATTGTGTGTTACACTTTTGCACGAACCAAGTTTATTAATATTGGACGAACCTACAGTTGGACTTGACCCAATAATTAGTGCAAGGTAATATTTTTGAATGAAATTATATTTAACTAAATTGTAAACGACACACTTAATTAAGTTTTGTTTTCTAGCATATGGGAATACATAAAAGATTTAGCAAACTGTGGTAAAACAATAATTATAACAACTCATTATATTGAAGAAGCACGACAGGCAAATACGGTAGATATTTTTAATGTGGTTGACGTATTGTTAAACAAATTAAACTGTAAACTGAATTTAGATAGGTTTAATGCGAAAAGGTGTTTTGCTATCTGAAGCATCTCCAGTAGAAATTATGACCTCGTGTAATGTCGATACACTCGAGAGTGCATTCTTAATATTAAGTCAAAATCACAATGCAGTAAATACAAACATGGTAATAATATTAGTTTCTCATTTATATTCCAGCATAACTAAATAATATAACAATAATATTATATCATTATAAATTAGGATGTCTATAGAAAAAAATGCATTCATCCATCAACGACGACAATTGAAAAGTCATCATTTTTTGAGTACACACGTTTCAAAGCCCAAATGTTGAAAAATTGGTATTGGAGCATCAGGAATTGGGAGTCAGTATTATTAAACTAAATTATATAATTTAATAGTAATAGGTTTAATAAAACATCCATATCCAATCAAATTAAAGAATGTTAGAAAAAAATAGAAATGTTTTACCGTTAATTATTATCTCTCAAAAAATAAGTTTTGAATTTATTCAAACAAAATATTCGTCCATTAATGACATTTTTAATGTAAATCAGTTTTTCAAAATCTGAAGTGGTTTCAATCCTAAAAATAAAGCGGACAAAAATACAGTTGTATAACATTTTGAATAGATTTTTTTCTTACATTTTCTGATAAAAATCAATTACTAAAATAACTAATACTTTCGGAGATATTGATTATATTAGATTATGCTAATTATCATGTAAAATAAATAATTTAAAACTTTGTGGAGAATTAAACCGACGTACACATTTTTACTGGAAATATTATGAATCTGAAGATAACAAACTCACATTGTAGGTATCAATATATAGTCGTATGGACAAATCACGATTATTCTTGTAAATACAATTTATAATCAGTGATATAAGGGATGAAAATACATATAATATTGCCCGATTAATAAGAGCATGGCTAGCATTATCGAGTTGCTGTAAATCTCTATCCACGGCCGTAATTTAGAGGGTGCCGTTCAAAAGCGCACACTTTCAGTTCATTATTGCAATTTTACATCGTTCAATACCGCACACATTTCATCTGTTGTTTAAAATGGAAATTTGAAAAGTCGATAATTCAAAAATGCACACATTCGATTGGCAGTAAAAATCATTATAGGCGAAATTATAGACCCAACGTGGTCACTCGTATGCTACGCTCACTCGGACAATTTTATCGAAAAAAAAAACCTTAGATTTGTTGGGAAAAACCATGTTTGATAAGACACAAAGTAAAATATGTGCGGTATTGAACGGTATCGTTTTGGAAGAACTATACATAAAAGTATGCGGTTATGACGACCGCCGGGTTCAGACTAATACTTATCTTATGTTTTCTTTTAGAATCATCTTTTTCATTTGTTTTTTGCCGATTTTCACTGTACTTATTTTTAATATAACTATTGGACGAACACCATCTTACCTCCAAATAGGAATTGTCAATAATGAAATTCCTTCGCCTTGTCCATATGAATCAAATAATATATGTGACAATACAATTCCATTGAGTTGCAAGTACATTCATGAAATTGAAAATCAAGGTTTAAGTTTGGTAATTAACACATTAAATGCATATTTTATATAAAAAATAAATTTATTCAATTTAAATTTTATTCCTGTATAAACAAATTTCTGTATTAAACACATCCAGTTATTAAGGCTTAAAATATTTTGTTTCATTATCATTAAGTTGCTTATCAATATAATTAGTTATATTTATAATTGAACATTTTCAGAAATATTATAATGACGTAAAATTAGCAGAAGAAGATTCAATACGAGGCCATACTTGGGGTTTCATGCAATTTAAACAAAATTTTACCGACATGATCAAAGTAAGATTTGATGACGCAATGGATATGAGTGTAGATGATTTAGAGAAATCTTCAATATCAATCAGGATGGACATGTCAGGTAATTTTTAAATTAAACATGACGCGCATACATTTCAAATATTACACATGTTTTCTGTTTCTCTATTTCAGACTTTGTGATCAGCAAACTAATCGAAGGGAAATTATTACTGAGTTATAGAGATCTTGCAATAAATTTTAAAAGTTGTAATAAAAATAGTTCTGTAGTGTCAATAATTAGAACATTACCATTTAAAGTACGAACATATAATTATAAAGTTTATCCTATTTTGTAATATATTGAATATATTTCCTTTAGTGTGCAATACAAAAATAATATTAATAAAACTAATTACATAAGTATATATTATTTTAGATTATGCAGCCAGTGCATGGGTCATTTAACATAAATATCGTTTTCTATGGATCTGCAGCAATAATATCGATGTAAATATATACTTTTGATTATTTTCTTCGAATATATTTGAATTAAGTGGTTTATTTTTAATAATTATTCCAATCTATTCAATTCATAATTTTAAAAGGACTGGCATACTTCGCAAAATTGGTGGGCCACTATTGTAGGTGAGAAGTTGGGAAAGTAAAGATGACATTTAATGTATATCTGTACGTAATGATTAATCATTGCTAAAGAAAACAATTTTGAGTGGATTTCGGTTATACATATTTAAAAAGCTGAATATATTTAATACATATAATACATTTCGTAAATTTTCCCGTTTTTCCTATTTATTATCATAACTCTTGTTAAAATTAACAAATTATTTCTTAAATGTACCACTACACGAAGATTCTGTATATCAGTAAAACTGGAGCATGATTTCAAGTAGGAAAGTTGTCCCAGATAAAAAAATAATAAAAATAATAAATATCATTGTAAAACTAATAGATTCCTGGTACATTATGGCTCTGTTCATAATCTACAATTTAAAAAAATACAAAATACCTATTTATATTAAAAAATAGGTTGAAATTTGTCCTTTATGCATAATAAAAACATTTTTAATAGTTCCTTAAATAATCACAATCTAAAATATTAACTATTTTATGTAATTTATTATATTTGTAAATTAGCTATTAGATAAATAATAATTTGTAGTATAATTATAATAATAATATGAAATAATTTGTATTATAAATAATTTAGTAGTTATAAAAATAATAACAGCAATAGTATAGGTTATTACAAATCTGTACCCATGTAATTAAACCTTGAAGGAAATATTTTAATTTATTAAAATTATTTTAGTCAGTGTGTTTAAATAAAGCATATGACGAGAAAAAAAAGGGTATATGCCTATCTATTTTCTCATCACTAAACACAAGTTATGATGAAACTAATATTTAATTTTTTTTCCAAATTTGTTCTCCAATTATTAAGTAAACAACATTGACAATTAAAAAATTACTGTCTAAATACACGAACTAGTTACAATTTCCTTTCAGAAATATAGTAATACTAATACATTTTTCTCTATGATTAGATTTATGTACCTAACGTATATTATAACATAATAATAGTACTATCAAAATAAAAATCACCAGATTAATCAAGATGATTATAAATGTGTGATATAAAAAAATAATTTATTTTTTTTTTCAAGGTTTTAACACAATAGTTAAAATGTTTGTATTGTTATAAACGTATCTACAGACATGTAATACGCATACATTTTTTAGTACACTGACTTCAATTTGATCTAATAAAAATATGTTTTAGATTGGGACTATATTCGACATTCCTGTTTACAGCATTATCGATTAATATGGACATAAACAGCGGCATGATTGAAAGGAGCCTCGCTTCAGGTAACTCAAAATTAAATCAATTGATTGTATTCATATAATTTAAATTGATTTATTTATGTTTGATCAGGTCTGTCTATTAGTGAGATTTTCCTGTCACAATTTCTGTTACAATTTGTGATAATGCTCTTTCAAATTGGGTCAATGTTCATATTACAATTTGTTGTATTCAAACATCCATTTTTAAGTAGTCCGATTTGGCCTTTTGCACTTGTATTATTACAAGGAATCTGTGGAACATTTTTAGGTTAGTAAATTATTTAGGTACATAAATATTATTTTTCAACAAGTTATACTGTATCGATATTATATTATATTTTCATTACATTTAAACAAATATTTACTAGATATTAGCTATGGTTTTGTGAAATTTATTAGCCAGTGATTATATTACTATATTTATACTTAGTTATTACTTTTATAATATTTGATTAGTTGTAATCTACACTTTAATACTATATTATCATCTTAATCATTGTTTAAGGTTTTGCGACCAGTGTTACTTTTGATGAAAGACTGACTACATTCATCGGAATATGTCTAGTGATGTCACAAGTGTTCTTGGGTGGTATGTATTATTATATCGAACACATTTACATGCGCTATGAAAAACTTTTTATTATTTTTATTTTAGGTATTATGTGGCCATTAGAAAGCATGCATTCAATACTTAAAACAATTACCGTTTTCTTACCTTTGACCTTGTCTATCGAAGCACTGCGATCTATGAATGCGAGAAATTGGGATATTTTTCATCCAACCGTTATGCATGGATTTCAATCGATATTGGGTTGGATACTTTTCTCAATTACAATCACAATATTGAGTCTCAAATTCAAATCTGTCATCAAACGGACAAAATAAATAATACATCGTGTCATTCGGTTTAGATTAATATTGTCGTTTGAGTATAGTATTTATATTGAGCTATGGAATTATGTAAAGAAATTGTGTTTCTATATCATAATTCATTATTTACAATTTAGTCTTAATATTATTAAACACTTTTTGAAAAAATTAATTTGTTCATTAAAAAAAAAAAAACAATTGTATATTCTTATTTATTTATTATTATACACCGAGGTATTTATTTATTTATTTATTTATTTATTTATTTAATTGTTAAGTATTTTAATTTCAAATTTATGATAATATTCATTAATAATATGAAACAGTATAAATTATTTTCTAGTATTTGCAAATAAATAAAATGTTCAATTTAAAGGTACTAAAAATATTTTACGCCAACTTCTCTCTAAAACCTCATTCTGAATATATTTGGCTGATTTTTGGCTTTATTTAGAATTTCATTGAAATTAGATAATTTTACTAACGGGTGCCATACGTTTTGGAGAACCAAGACTGTTATCGGATTTTGACTCGGTGTACCGGTGGCCTAAAAATAAATGTCGGAACGCCTACATGTCCCGATTTTGAGAACAATTAATATTATCTAATTTTGAATAACTATACATATAGTAATCAAGAGATAAATATTTTTATTGTTAAAGAATACGGGATAAAATAATGGTGTTACGTACAACCGTATATTATCCAAATGAAGTAATAAGTATTACTTTATGTTGAACAATAATATTTTTGACGATAAAAATATTATAACAAAAAGAATAGTGTTCATTGTATAATAAATTTATAATCTGTTAAATAATGAATACGATTTTTGTTGCATAGAAATGGTGTGTAAAATAATATGTCGGTTTTTTTAGATTCTGAGTGGAGCGAGGAATGTATTTGTTTTAAAATAATGTTAACTATTATTATTATTTTTTTTTTTTTGTGAACACTTTTTCTACCAGCGATTTGGCTCCAATTTACAATGACAGAACTTTTTCTAAAAGGAAATCTGATTGGGGTGTTACTTTTGTAACACCTCGATGGGTAGTCATTTTTTGATTTTCTCAATAAATGGGAAAAACCGGAAAAAACCAGGAAAAACCATAGGCAAAATACCAAAATAGGTGCGATATTAAATAAATATTATTTTAAAAAATTCAGCGCCGCAGAGTTATGTAAGGAAAAAGAAAGAGCTCGTACGTCGATCGTAGTATATTACACGAGACGACCAACTACTATTTAACTTGTGTAATTTTACAGCAAACGGTCTTACCTTTGTTAAGCTTAAAATAATAGACTGAATGTTTTGAAATTTACACGAGTTTATCTGTAGTTATGTAGATAATACTTTTGTAATTTTAAATTTGAATGGATAATTATAGCCATTATATTCATATTATATCTGAATTTTTTGACAATTTAAGAAACACGCAGCTCTAAAATGTTACGTTTCCATTATTTTTTGTCATCCTTATTATTTATGGGTGAAACGAGTACCTATTTATGATTTTTAAATTGCAACCTATATCAAAACATCCATCGACAGGAGTGTTATGTGATAGAACAAAAATAGAGCAAGAGTAAAATTACCACTTTTAAATAGGACAAAAATGATGGGCGATAAAACATTTGTAATGGAATAAAAACATGTAGGCGTTGGAAGATGTTTCGATAGAATGCGATTAATTATACCGAAGGGCGAAGAGTGGTGGCGGTGGTAGGTATAATTTAAAATACGAGTACGATCGGCCGGTAACCGTCGCATTATCAGTAGTTGTAAAGTGTGCCCGGAATAGTACAATACCGTATTTTGACCCACCGGCTGCGGTAGACGACCAGTTCGCGTATTTATCGGACATACTACGTATCTAATTTAATGCGTAATATGTGATGTTGTGTGCGAGTGCGTGTGTGTGCGATGGCGTGCGAGTGTGTATATCGAAAACGATAGTCGTATATTGTGGTGTATTGTTTATGACGTTTTAAAATCGTAAAGCGTGTTATCTATGACTTTGTGTCCGAAGGCGGTCGGCTCACCGTGCATATGCGCGTGTCTAAATAGCCGGTAGTACTCATGATTGATGTACGACCTGACCGTCGGTAACTATCATTAGACATTACGAGCCCTGACGAAATGCCATAAATACTAACTGTTCTGTTACGAGGATATTGTTGTGGGCGTATTTTCAAACTCAGAGTCGGGTGTAAGTCGAACGAGTAGACACAATATTTTATAAGTATTTTATTTCAGTCGAAATATATTCTAACAATTTTTAATTAATTTACAAGTCTGTCTGGCGTGAAGGTGCTCGCGGTTGATAGTGCTCAGACTCGTTTTAAAAGGCGTTCTCGGCGGCCGGTATATATATATATATATACTCCGGTCTTCTCGGCTAAAGATGCTTAGTTCGCGCTTTTCGACAACAATATGTTAATTGATCAGTCGAGTGATAACCTTGCCTCTGCATCCGTGTCGTGCGAGAATAGGCGCATAAATATATCGCTAAAATAGTTTGTTCACGGTCGTTCGTATTGCGCCGGAGCCTTGGTAAAAAGTTGCTCTGTACATTCGGTGCGCCTGGGGTTGGCAGCATCCAAGGTGGGTTCAGACAATCCTTCTCCGTCCGGAGAATGCGGTTTTGATACCGAAAAACGATAGCCCGTTTAAATTGATATCACGAATAACGTTGTGGCCCATATTTATATAATATCCTATTGCTGCGGTACGTATAATAATTATAATATTGTGATATTTAAAGGGAATAAGCCGACGCCCGTAACACCTCCCCACTAAAAACAAGGTTTATATCTTCCAAAAGATAGACATATTTTCACTATCGTCCGTGCACCTTTTACGAAATTCAAATCAAATATAAAAATTATTAGAATATCGCTTATAGAAGTCGATGTACAATTTTTTTCTTTTTTCTTAAATTCTAAATTGTTGTTAGTATACAAGATAATTTTACATATTAATATACATTAATACATTGAAATTCGCAAGTAAATTTTTCTGTAATACATCCTTTTTTTTTCACATAAACAATATACCATCAGTTATCAAAATTAATCATTGCATGTAAACATTATTATTATTATATCTGTTTATATTACATTTTTTTTTTTTATATATAAGTATATATTAATGAAATTATTACAATATATTACAAAAATCTCTTGTAATCATCTCCTTATCCTCGTACAAAGGATTACAAAATGACAAAAAACATGACATAAACAAAATGTTCACTTGAAAAGTGTAATATTTTGGTTATATTAGGCAGTGAATGATGAAACTCGTCTAACGTTACTTCGTTTAAAGCTCTAATATCTATCACTCTCCTAAACTTTTCTTTACCACTTGTATCCTCCTTCTTTTTAAGTAGTAGAGCATTCTAAGGACTCGTTGTTTTATAATAACAAATACGTCCTTCATAATTTCTTGTTTTAAAATTAATATATTTTTATTTTCTACGTTCAGATCGGCTATTGGAATTTGGACTATTGTTTCTGTTCATGGTTGTATTAAAATCATCTCATTATTATTAATTTCAATTTTGTTTCCTCTTATGTTAATTTTCCATTATTTTATGTAAAAATTCTTTATCTAATATCCCATCTGGTTTTACAGGAAAATTGTTATTTACTATATGAAATTCCGCATTTATTTTTAAATTGTGAATTATAATCGATACCGATATTTTTCCTAATGTTTCTGCTTTATGGTCATTTATACCTTTTAAATATATTTTTTCATTAGTATCAATCATTAATCGCCCTCTTAAACAAGTAACTTTTATATTATTAATTATATATTTACTACCTGTGTCTACCGGATGATTCATTTAAATGGATATACTCATTATCACGGAAAGTATTAACATTTTTCGGAATTTGTATTTTGTTTTCGGATATAATACATTCTTTATATGGCGTTTTTCAAAACAGACGGACTTTGTTAAAATAACTTCAATTTGGTACATAATTGTTTTAAAACATCTATAATAATATAAGAAATTGGTGATACTTCGTTCAAAATTGCTTAATTAGTTTACTTATATTCGTAGTTCAAATTGCCCGGGCAGGATAAAATTAGCACTCCCAAAAATACCTGTAATACATTTTGTTAAAGTGTAAACTAAATATTTTATCTATATATTTCATAATTAATAAGTAGAACAAATACCTATAGTGACAATGCATACGTGTATAAAAATAAAGTAAACAAAATTACAATATATTTGTGTGAAAAAAATAAAAAATGTAAATTAAATGTGTAGTTGCTTAATATATAAGTCATGTGAAGGGGATTGAGGGACATTGCTTCCGTGAGTCTGTGAGTTATCTATAATTTTAGCATCCCCAAATTCGGTGGTCTAGTTGTGGCCAGAATATTGCATTATAAATGTTATTTTTATAAAATGAACATTGTTGGTACCGAATTTCAGTAAAATTATTTTAATATTGTGGGGTTTTCCGAAAAGCGCAAATCAGAAATTATGTTAGACCCAACAGGGGGGCTGTCTGAGTACAGAAAAAAACTGAACATTCACCTAGAAAATGGATGGTTGGACAGCCGAACGAGAAATTTAATTGTAGAATTTCAAACGTACACAACCAATATAGATTGCATTATAGTGTTCAAAATACAAGTCCAAATAACATCCGGATTATTACACACAATGAATAATGCGGTATGTATAATTTATGCATTATACCTACACGGGGCTTTCAAAATTGTATATTTCAAGGATTTCAATTGTGGATAAGTAATTTGTTTTGCGATATTTTTTGGTGATTTTTGTAATAAATAGGAGAAACCAGGAAAAAAACGTAAAATTAAAACTGACACATCTACAGTTTTACGATTTTTGTTTTACACTCAACATTTTGTAGTTTTGTTGCAATTAATTTTAAAATATTCGTAGATACTTGACAATTTGACAAAAAAATTATATTGATCTTTTCTAAAAGTGGTCAAATATTAAAAATATTCTGAAATTTGTTGAGCCATTTATAGACATTTTACATTTTCTATAATTTTTTCACGTCGTTTAGATGTAATTGTTTAACCGAATAGAAATGCTGAAAAATATAACACGAAGTTATAAGTTGTACTTAGTGGTAAAATTGAAATGTGCAATACAATTATTTTTTTTTTTTCATAATAGTTTTAAGATCAAATTTCGATGAATTCGTAAATATTACTGCCTTTCAAACCGAATGCACAAACGAACTTCGCTCCGAATCGTGTTCCGTTAAAAATGGTTTGTCATTGATTACAGGTATTAATGCAATTTAACTTAACTTTTTTAACTATAATCTATCCAGACTTCCCAACTTCCCATTCATACAATATCCATCAGCTGTATCAGTTCTTCTTCTTTTATATTCTCAGTGGAGCAAGGAATTGGTTTGGTTTTACAATGTGTTTATTTTTTTTTTTATTTGTGAACAACTTTTCTACCAGAAATCTTGTTCCGATTTACACATGTAACACTTTTTCTGAAAAGTAAGTCATTTTTTGATTTTACCAGGGGTTTTACCAATAAATAGAAAAAATGTTTATTACATATCTATGTAATTATTTTACCATAATATAACACATAAATTGTTAAAAATATGCAACAATATCAATCGAACTCCACTCAGAATCGTTTTTTCGTTAATTTGTACTAAAGTTAACCGTTGCGTACAGATAAACAATAAATTCCCTTTCCACAGCCTTCCTAAATTTTCTTCAACAACAATGGCTCACCTACGTGATAAGTATGTCCGTCGTTTTTTTTTTATTTTATTTCAACCATTTCCGTATAATTTTACAAGCATAAATATAATAATATAGCAATGGCAAAATAAAATCTAGGTCACAATTAATGGCAAAACCGTTCAATTTTTTACGGTTATATAAAAAAAAACAAATTAATGTTGTTTTCACGCAAAATCCAAGAACGTTGCGGCATCGTGGCCGACTTTCGCTCATACCGATATAGGTATACAGCTAAATGTTACACTCTAATAGGTTTATAACTGCGCGCGGTCGATTTCTGGGGGAAAGGCATTATAAAGACAAATTTCTAATGCACAATTCGTCAGTCTGCGAGTTCTATAGAGGCAACCGAAACGTTTGTAACACGTTGTTTTTTTCCTTTCATATTTCACAGTAATACAATGTAAATTTAAACAGTAGCTATATAATATTACGTTAAATTCTCGTTTTCGATTTTTATATTTCGATTGTTCACGAATATACCGGCTACACCTCTTAAAGGTTCGAATCCGAATATTTTCAAATGCCAAACATAATGAGTATCAGATCGCCGGTGCACGTGAGATTTCATATACCTACCCGCACATACTTTCATCAAGAAATATCAATACGGTTTTGTTGTTATAAGAACGTAACTATAACCGGCGATTTGCGTTGGCGATATACCGTCAGTTATAGACCGATTAACTGTTTGCCCGACAGACATTCCGTATTAACACTTAAACACGATCGTTTAGGCTAATGTTTATTGGTATACAGTCTTGCCTATACTTTTACGGCGCGATTAACAAACTGCGATCAGGTTGTCGACGTGTTGCCGCGGAAAATAGAATATGGTATCGACAGAGTGAACAGCAAACAATATTTATATAATACCGCGTTACAATATTTCTGAAAAAAAAAAAGAAAAATGTGTTAACCGACGATAACGTACGTATAAATGTTTCAACTCGAGTAATCTTAAGCCGACAGATATTGAACGGTTTGTTAATTTATATTTAATTCGATTGTATACTTTCTATTTGTAATAGAAATTTTATCTCCTACCACGGATACCTATTATAATAGAGTAGGTATGGCCGTATAGATTGTATGGTATTATCTTTGAAAAGTTGTCGCGTCCGGAAAATAGCGGTTGAAAATCAGCCAGCCGGCCGAACAGGAAATCGAACCCGAGTCTCCCGGTCGCCGCGCGATCGTTCCGTCAACTAAACTACCCGGGGTTTGATAAGAAATCGATAAATACACTGGACTTTCTTTACTAAACATACGTCGTGCTGTACGGTTGAGAGAACAAAGCGGCGCTTGATGCGGGACCGTGTTAAAGTCTAAATCAATGTTATGTATTTTAGAAACGACCAATACCATATAGGGACTGTCCAGTCGAACAAATCGCAATTAATAACAATGACAAATATGCATACTTATTGAAATATTTGAATGTGTGAGTGTATTTTTTCTAAACTAATGTCTAATATTATATATTTGTTATTTTGGTACCTCTCGTAATATTTATACGAACAGAATTATTCATCAAATTTCATTAAACTTAGAAATGCATACAAATGTATAGATAAAATTTAAATTATCCAAATTTGGTGTCTCTAGGCCATCTTAAATCTCCACTCACGTGATAAATGTCAATAACCTATACAGTGTAACCAATATTCGAAACTCATAACCTTGACATTTTTTTGTTTTTTTAAACAGAACATAGCTTTAAAATGTAACATTACCGTTACTTTTGTCACTTTTATTTTAGAGGGGGGGAATTCATTATCAACAATTAATTTTTAAATTTAACTTGTATTAAAATGGATGGAATTTCAGTAAAAATAAATTTTGGTTTTTTTTTTTTACATTTTTAATTTCCGTTAAACTTGGTGATGAGATATTTCACTTTTTTAGATTTGAGTTGGTAATTTTGAGTTGAGAAAGTAGTGGAACATCATTTAAATGCAGGACGACGTATAGAATTTGAATAATACAAAAAAGAGGTAATATAATATTTTAGAACTGTGGCGTTTATGAAAATAAATGTCTAAAAAACCCCCGGTAAAAACAACTGGACGCGCAAATCTGGTATAGGACACCAAATTTGTAAATACAAAGAAAAGTTTTATGGCGTGAACTGTGAAATTTCTATTAAAAAAGTATGTTCACTAATTATAAATTAAATGGGCTATTTCTGTTGCATTTTCTTTTTACCGTCTATTGATGTTTATTAACCGTGAAATCCCCTTCCTTCCAATGGTGATTCCTTATTAAGTTATACGTACTATTTCAAATACGTAATTTATATGGGTATTTTAGATAGGTACCTAGTGCCTACCTACAGTATAATAATATTATGTTATCTTTTTAAACCTTGAGTCATTTATCCAATGATAGATTACAAATGGCATAAAACATCTGTAATATATTATGTTCGATTTAATTCGCTGAAAAATTAAGACACAATTTTGCGATAATAAAGTCCAAAGATAATAATTCTATTAAGGTATAATATTTATACGCTAAAAGTGTTTATTCTTTCAAGATGTCAAATTTAAACACTTACGAAAACCTTTAATATATTATCGAATAAAACCAAAAAATGGAGAGGAGTTGTATTTATTGCTCGTTTCGGAATCAATTGGAGAAAAAAAATATAATGTTATTATTGAGGGTGCGGTTCAAAATTGTCGCTATCAATTAGACGAACTAAAGGAAAAACTCAAAATACCGGGTCTTATTAAATCGTGTACGGAAAAGTTGAGCTCAAAAAAATTCATTGTAAACAAGTGTAACGGTCATGATAACGACGACTGTCAAGATATGTGCAATTTTATTCGAAATATTTACGGTAACACAAATGTTACAATATTCTAGTTTCATACAGATTGCGATAAATTATATTATGTACCTGTTTACTAATTTAATATTTACCTATATAAAGTATTTTTACTTTTTAACTATGACATTTACAGAACACGATAAGGTAGTCGAATTTGCAATAATCGGTCCTTATTTCAATACAAAAACATTACGTAACAAGATAAACAGATTCTTTGACTTGTACAATACGAAAAAAAAAAAATGGCCGTATAGCCGTTTACGTACCGGAATATTATGTATATTTTTTCAAAGAAATAAACACAATCTATGGCAAGATAATAGTGACGAGCACAATTACCAGGTATATAGGTTGGGGACAACCAAATACAGCAGCCCGCCCTCGGTATCTGCAACCGCTGCGTAGTTTTGGGAAAAAAAGTATGGTCGGAGTGAGTGAGCAAAAATAGTCTGCTTCTGCTGGGCGAACCCGGAGAAGTAACAACCGACTCGGACACGATCAAAAAGGCCTTTTGGGTGACGCTTATGGCGTGTTTATGCCCTCTGCAGTCTCCCACAGCGACGACTCCCACTCCGCCACGGTAACTACGTGGGCGGCTCTATGCGAGCGACGCGCGTAATTAATATTTTGAATTCATATGTGTCCTATTAAGGTGGCAAAACTATTTAACAGATGTTTGTAACGGAATCGGTAATCGTACTGTAAAACCTTGATCGTTATTTTGCAAGTATTAAATATTCAATGTATTACAAAATTGATAACAAAATTTAAGTAAAACTACATCATATTTAAATAACAGCATATTTTTTTTTTTATAAAATTAGTTTCAACTATACTATGAAAATAGTAACGGTTCATTTTTCTTAATAGGAAGAAAAGCAACAATCAACAACCTGAAATTTTACTTAGATCTAAATAACTATATCGCTATTATTTTTGAATCTAAGCAAAGATATGTGCATTTATATTCAATGCTTACTGTTACAGTATTGTAAAGAACACATTTATTTTGTGTTTAGAATCGAATTCGAATTAGTTTAAAAATATGAATTTATCATTTAAGTTTGGATTACGAAAACTCGGATTAACGAATAAACAAAAATCTAACCTAACCTATTATACTCTTAAAGATAAATTAAAATGTAAATAAAAAAATATAAAAATAAAGGTTCAATTTTTCTCAAACTAAAAAAATGGAAACCATCATAATCTGTGAATTCATATAGATTTGGAACAAATATATTTATTATTCTTAATTATGAGCAAATATAATAATATGTGCATTTCTATTAAATGCTTACTTGAATGTTTCTCGAATAGGTGCTTTAAAAACTGAGTACCGTTATCAAATACATTGAGTATTGTGCATCTGGAGAAAAAAATAAATTTTATTGGCGACAAATTATTAAAATGGTATATCAGGAGATAAATAACATTAAAGAAAATCAAAGTTATTCAGCTGACACTATTGCACTGACAGACGTACCGAATCGATTACTCATTGTAAAAAAAAACCATGTTACAGCACGGAACAAAGTATAGGTTTTTTATTACATATCAATTTTTCAAGTATTTGTATTTTATTTTTTTATTTCTAAACTTTCCAGGTGCTTCATAGTTTATGTTTATAAATAATATAATTGCATACAATTAATTATTATTGGTTAGATTCAAAATATGGTTTGAAAAATGAAACCTACGTAACGACTATTTCAAAACCAAAAGTCGGTTTTTGTACAATATTACCAGATTCAGGAATATCAGGAATAACATTGTTTACTATATCTTGTATGAACTTCACTAATGAAAATAATACTGAAAATACTTTTGAATATTATCAAAAAAATGTATATGATAAAATATCCCTGGGTAAACAATTAAATTGTATAAGCGATGATAATCAAATGATCATTACGTAAATTCATATTATTAATTATCGATTTAAGGAATTTTATTAAGTCGAGATAATGGAACAATGAAAAATTTAAAATTAAACTCGTTCAATTATCTAACTGTAAAAGTTATAAATAAATATGAAACATCCATACAAGTGAACTTAGCTGTGGACGTAAATAATAATTTTATCTTTAACTATCAAAAATACTGTAATATACATTTTTTTTTTTATTGTACTAGAATGGTGTAAAACGTTTAACTCCCTTAAATAATTATAGGTAAAAAAATGTAATTATCATTGAATGAAAAATATTTTCAAAGAATTAAAAACTAACTCAAGGAATGTCAAATGTTTAACTAACTAAAGACGACATTTCAAGTAGGTATTAATTATTGCAATCAGTTACTATATAATTATATTTGTAAGTTTTGATAGTAAATACATAATCTTTATTGTTTGGTTAATTTAAGGAACTGTGTCAATTTTAGCCATTTTGAGTGATCTACTTCGTGAGAATCATATTAATAAATTTATTAAGTTTTTTAATTTGTTGGCTCAGATATTACAAATTAAAAAATTAAATAATTTAAGTATAAAGCATGTCTTGTTTTTTAAATAATTATTAAAAACTATAGAGCTAAAAATATAATTGTACTTTATTTACAGATACCAGTTAAGAATTGTATTTTCTGTAATGTTTAATTTATATTAATACTTATAATAAATTAAACTTATACTAATAAAAAATTTCAAAAATTTCAAAAAAACTGATCAGGATTTCTGATTTCTTACACGAATATATTAAAACATCGAATGAGTCAGATAAGATAATCGAAATTGACAAAGTTGAACAAATAAAAGAGTAAATATCATAGAGGAATAAAAAATAAGAGATTTTTAATTTTGTATTTATTTAAACATTTGTAGAGAACTAATCTTTATAACTTATACATATATATATATAGGTGAATATTATAACTGAAAGCACCTATAATCTACTAAAAATGTTTGGAAAATCGATTATTCTCGAATTGGTACCATATGAAAGATTGAGTTTTTGCGTAGAAGAGATTAAGGATATCAACGCATGCGTATGCTAGTAATCAAATCAAACGCAGGGTGATTAACACAACGCGAGGCATTCTTTATCTCGGAAAATATTAAGTTTTCGGATTTCATTTTTTAAAGCATTTAAGCAATAAGTAGTTATAAAGCGTTACATTACATTTTTTCACATTTATTTTAAAGAATAGAACAATTGCCTACTATTGATTTCCAAATGGAAACTTTTATTAAAAATTCCATAAGTAGGTGGAGTATTATTTTATATAAATTTTGGTATTGATATTTTTGATGTTCAGCAGCCCGTAAAAGAATTTTAAGTTTGGGTAGGGAGAGATTAGTAATGTACTATTCAAAAATGCACGTCGTACTGCTACACAAATGATGTACCACTCCTTCCCAGTCTAAACTTAAAAATGAAATATCCCGTCGTCGTCAATAATTTACGGAAATTAAACATTTAAACACTAAAATTTATTTTAACTAATACTTTACCTATTTATAGAATTTTTAATTTGAAAATCAAAATTAGGTGGTTATTTCATTTCCGAAAAAAAAGGTGACAAAAAAATTTAATGTTCTAAGAAATAGATATAAAAATAAAATCAGAAAAACTTTAATACTTCCCGAGATAGTTAGTATCTTATGTTATGATGACCCTATATTAAATAAATAATACCTAACAACAGAAAATCTTTGTTTACAGATTTTGTCAAGATAAAACACAAACTATTTCAAACTAAATCGAAGAATTTCTGTGTAATGCTATAGATAGTGAGTGAATTAGAGAAGTATTTTATAACACAGAGGAAGAAATGGGGAATAATAGTATTTTTTTTTTTAAAGAACACAGAAATATTTTAAAACATTTTAAACTTCGAATTTGAAAGTTTAGATGTTTAATGTTGAGAATGATTTAATAAAATCATTTGACGTATTTGAAGATCCCAACATACATTTTCAATTTGTGTCATTTGACGTCTCACGTTTTAATCAGAAAAATCCGGGAGAATTGATTGAGTATCATTCGTTTGAAAAGACTTTAAATGCAAATATTAAAATGAACAAAACTAATGTGAAAAAAAAAAGAAATATACAATTTGGATTCCATCGAAAAATTGTAGTAATCTCGAACATGATAGAACATTAACATAATGAACACTTATTTGTTACATTAAGTGATTCTGTCCATGATTTACGTGTATGTTTTTGTTTCGTCATGCAAATAATATTATGTTTTAACAAAAATCAAAAATTTAATTATTTAGTTTCCTATATTTATAGTTTACATGGTTTTATGATAAAAGGCCAGATATCGGAATAATAAATAATAACACGTACACAATAAATATTATGGCCGGTGAAAAATATGAGTTTACATTAAAAACATTCAGTGAGCGTCAAAATAATATACATTACATTGGTATATCAGTTAATATGGTAATATTTCAATCTGAGTCTTCGTGGCGAGTTAAGCATTAATAATACCTAAATATTTTCAAATATCTTCTTATCAATCATAGATCTAAAAAACGTAAATTTTCTGTGTGAATTAATTACATTTTAAATTATAGAGTAAGTAGACAACAACAATGTACTTATACCTATTGTATTTGTACAATTTTAAGTATTTGCTATATTAAAGATATAATAGATTCTACTAGATAGGTATCTAGTATTATTATAACTCATGTAAGATGAATATTCAAACATTAATTGTTATTAATTTCTTATTGTAGACATCGCCGAACTAGGGGATAAGGTTTTAGCATTACTTCCCCCCGTGCGGTTCACACTCCTAGGCACGCCATACTGCCCATCTTCCTGTGTCAGAAATCAACCATCTGATCTACACCACTTCGCCGCTTTTTCCAGGAACACAGTCTCACCGCCACTTTCCACATGGCTGCTGACATAGGGATAGCCCCGTCCTTTGTCAGCAGCGTTCTCTCGGATTCTTACCCTTTTAAGTGCCGTGAAGTCTTCTGGCGGCATTCAGGCGAAAATCAGGGAAGTCTCCTCGGATACGATTCGATATGACTCTGTCGCCCTTAGGGCAATGTGATTAAATATAAGAATTATTATAACGACGAATTAAAGCATACAGGGTACCGAACAAGAGCCTGTATCTGTATTTTGGTAGTTCAAAAGTTTTCAATTTTCAGTTCTTATGGCATTAAATAATTATTGTGCTTAAATTATTAACTAATTTTGTAAGGTAAACATCATTTTACAAAAACAAATATAAAAAAAAATTAAGCACAATACATCTACTGACTATATAAACTATTCAATTTTTCTTTAATTCTTATCAAACGTATTAGTTCATTAAACGCCATTGAGGTAAAAAGTACTTTAAGTTACTTTGAATTTCAGAATCTTTTGTCTTCAACTGGTAAGGTCTCGTTCGGTATCCTGTGTAATATTAATTTGTGATTAAAGACTATGGGGGGTAAAAAACAAAATATTTAATTTATTTAGGATCAAAATAATACTACAAAGATTTATATGTCCAATATTAATTTTCCAATGGATATGGTAAGTCCACAATGCTTATATTGGAATGGAAAGAAATGTATAAGAAAAAAAAATGTTTGTATATCATTGCAAATATTAAGTAAATTGATATATATCTATTACCGTTTATAGGTATACTTTTAAAATGGCCTTATTGTTGGTTGGTTCAAATACTACAAAAGATAATATTTACTGTGAAACTAATCACGTGTCGTTGTTTGGCGGTTTAATGTTGACTTTACCTAACATAGCAGAATCCGTTGAAGAAATATTTTATTATGAGGCCATTGTCAATAATATGGTTTGCCTTATATCAGTAGCTGTGGCGTTCATAATTTATTTAATATTACTCGTTTGGTGCATAGATCAGTATAAGAAAGACGTATTAAGAGTAATCACTATCATAACTGTATCAACTACTTATATAAGTGTTCATCGTGAATATAATTTATGAATATTGCATTACAGGGTGAAATTATAATTCTTCACGATAGCTATGTTGGAGTAAAGCACTCCTACCAGAGGCACAAGGTTGTCAGTTTGTCCTTTCTGATGTCTGATTTAATTATAACTATGAAGCGCTGAATATTAGTTCCTACCAAGGTTGGACATAAACGAGTTAAAAAGATAAAAGCCAAGTTAATATAGTTAAGATAGATTAGTTATTGATTAATAAACTTAACTTTTGAATTAAATACTAGCAACACATGAAAAATAAAACACCTCTATCCTGGAATTAACTTCTTCTCAGCCATCACTCTTGATCACTCTTACTACCCCATTTTACCAGAACTCCTTAACTCTCTTTTGGTCATAAATAATGTCACATTTACTTGTAAAAACGTTGAAAATCTTATCTAACGTTTATTTTCTTTTAAAAACATCACTAAAATGACTTAAGCACTTAATAAAATATAGCCTATAACCTTTTGGCGACGATAAGTAATTGAATTAAAGAAGTTTTAACAAAATCAAATATTATCAATATTTTTGATGACCTTTAAACAAACCTCTTTATAATAGTAATATTTACTAAATTTTTAAAATTAATATTCCAATTATTTTTATTTTCAGTAAAAGTCAAAATTATCAAACATATATTGAATATCAAGGAAGAGAAGAAAATAATGATGATGAGACAAAAAGTACTTATGCTATTGAGTATTACTTAGTTTGCTTAATTTATTGAAAAACGAAAAGTTATAATTTAGTTTTTATACTACATTTTTATGTACAATTCTTTATATTGTCTCTTCCTCTCGTTCACATTGATTAAAACTATTTGGGATCGGTCGCCCTTGTTCTAAACTTTCACTTTATCTATTCTCTCACCGCGAATACAACAACGACTGACTCTTATCATTCATTCAACCATTCTTTTTCGATCTTTCTGTTTACGTTTATTTTTATTAAAATGATTACTGTTTCATATTCTTCACTCACAATGACATACCTAAACGAACTCAATTTATTTTTTCTCATTTTGTCTTCTGTCAAAGTTATGTTCAAGCTACCTTTCATATACTGATTTCTTTATCCTATCTTCTCTCTTCACTAAACTCATCTACCTAAGTATTTTTATCTCTGCTATAATCGTTCACAGCATTCTGAATAATACAACATAGTTTATCTCACCACACTTTTGTAGAACTTAACTCTAAGTCTTATAGGAATTATCTTGTCACAAAATTCATCAGACCCTTCTATCAACTTTATCCAACCACATTTAATTCTATATTTCACATCTTCATTAAAGCTACCAGTTTTTGTGTAAAAGATCCTAGGTACTTAATACTCTCAATCTCGTCTATTACATCACCGCTTATTGTCGTTGCTCTATTCCTACAAACGTATACTCTGTTTTTCTTTTATTAATCATTAGTCTCTTTCCCTCAAATGGTACTACTATTACTGTAGTAATCTACAGTAGTCTACCTTATTGTTAACTTATTCCAGATTTCCTTTGAGTATAGCTATATCATATGCAAACATTATGCACTATGGTATCTCCTCTCATTTGTTATCCCTACGCACATACGTGATAAGATAATCCATCAATTTAGAACATCTTATACTCTTTGATAAAATTTTACACCGGTTGTCGACCTGATGCTATCTGGCAACATTTTTCACCTCTTAAAACAAGTAGAGGTACCGTGGGGGTATACTAATCCCCTGTTAATTTGAAATTAAAAATTGTTATAAAGTTTCAATTAACTAATTAATTATTAAATTGTGTTTAGTTTTAATTTTGTAATTTATTAAATATAATATGCGTTCTGAGTATGATTTATAAATGAAGATCGGTGTATCATTGATTAAAACCAAAAATAAGTTGCTTCTATATCTAAACATTGTTTAGTAAAACATGATATTCAAAGTTTTTGAATTTGTTATTTTAGAAAACATGATGGAGGAAGCTGCTATTAATGCTCGTAAAAAAAAAAATCATATTTTCCTGCTCAGACGAAAATTAAATTTATTAAAACACAAAAATTAATTATTTGCTTATAACTGGATGGTAAATACTGTAATATAAAAATGACAACACCTATCCATATATGCTTTGGTTAATAAAGAAATATATTTTTAATTACAGCGTTTTCGTTTACGTGATATCTTATGTTTTAATCATAAGTCATGGATTAAAATTAGGACAAGTGAAGAGATCACATTGGCTAATGAGTATAATAATATCATTGATATAAGACGCAATTTTTTTAGAACCCTTACTTATACTAATTTATAGCTGTGTTCAATCAAGTAATTAAAACCGGTGATTGAATCAAGATGGATTCATTTTCTTTAACATAAACGATCTTCTTATTTTCAGGAACAAAATATCATAATCGGATATCAAATAAAATTACCTAATTACTGAAGAAACACCAGGAATCAGTTACAAAATGTACGATTAATTCGAAGTATATGTGAAAGTAGAAACAAATATGTGTATAATCCATTTCCCCAGTATATGTTGAGGTAATTGTATAATAATTGATTTTTACGCATGACTAGACAATAAAGTTTTATTATTTTTAATTGATTTGTAATAAAATAAATGAGCCAGTTTAATTTTTTATATATTTACCGACCTTTTTGATTAAAAAATCGTGAATTTACATTATGTTAATGTAAGAATATTTTTAATAGGTTTTGCGTAATAAACAAAATTATCAGACGTGGATCAAACATTTCTGAAATTATTCGACTACTTGTCTATTAACATTTTTAATATCGTTTTGTTGTGTCGGTGCGTTATATTCATATGCCAGTCCAATGCACATTGTATATGCATCAACAATATATCAACAATATCAACAAATTATTTCTCAAGAATATAGTGCAAAGTAATACAATGGATTTAGAAAAGTAATTCACATTATAATTTATACACAAATTTAAGCTTGGGCAGTGTTAAGAATTAATTTTTATTTACAAGGAAAGTGAACGCAAATTATAGATCTTTATTTTTTTAGTTTTTACTAAAAATAAAGAATAAATTCAGTAAAACAAAAACAAATGTTTTATTGAGATTGTGATTGAGTTTATGGGATTAATTTCAATGACTGATGGTAGTGGGGTTGTGATGTTATGGATAATTGCCCACGCGAAGGTTGTTCTACGGAAAATCAGTCATATAGAAATTATTAACTAGAAAAATTTGCTGTATCCGTTGCACAAATCATGTATGTGTAATATGATAAAATATAAACGGAAGGAAATCTTAAGGCAACGAGTTCCTTTTTAACAGTGGAACGAAGAGTGGGAACGAATCCCTTTTTAAAATTAATTTTTCCAGCACTGCACTTTGGTTAGAGTTTATTTTGATAAGAAATTAATTTCAAGTTGAAGACAATTTTAACTACGTCACTGATAGATCCGTTAAAAATGCAGGAATATTACAATAGAATACCAATAGTCAACGTATCAAAGACGAACTTCAATGAGAGTAAAGATATTATTCAGCCATGAATTAAATGTAAAAGGAGGTGATATACATCATAGGCTATTACAACTGTTTCAGTCTATACAAAAATTACGTCTATTATAATTTTAATTGTGGAACTTAAGTCGAAATGATATGATGTTACACACAAATAACACAATTTAAACGGAAAAATATTTTCGAGGGTACGGTGTAAATTTTTTAAAAAATAAGTATTAAAAAAGCCATTAACTATTGTGGTTGTAACTATTTTATTGGATAAAATTTAAAAAATGTCATTGGTATTGATTCCGAATTGAAACCCACAATTAAAAATATAATTTTTAAATCACGTAATTTCACTATGTTATCCAGCTTTTAGTTAGACTGAGACAATAAATGTATTACTTCCTCTTCAGATAATTTAAACTGAGATTAATTATATAATAACCAACATGATTATACCGTTGAAGACAACAAAAGAGGTTGGTATGATCTTTACAATATTAAATTGATAAACGGAGGTATAAGACTTTTACAAAATCGTATCAGAACTGCAAATACTTGGAAAATTGATGCAGGCAATTATAAAGAAAGTCGAAAGGAAATTAGTAAAATGAACACCATAACTGCTTGGATGTACAGACGGATACCCGTTATAAAATATTTCGGCCTCTGTAAGTATTGCACGTGCATTATTATTTATAAATGTTACTTAGGTAAAATAAACATTGTTGGTACTGAATTTCAATAAAATTATTTTAATTTTGTAGGGTTTCCCGAAACACACAACTCAGGATTTATGTTAGATCTAACAAGAAAACTAACAGAGTATAAAACAAAATTGAACACTCATCTAGAAAATGAATAGTTGGATAACCGAACGAGAAATTACAGTGTTTAAAATACAATTCCAAACCACATCCAGATTATTGTTCACATTGAATAATGTGGTATGTACAATTTACGGATTATATCTATGAAGAACGTTTTAAACCAAAGTTACTGTTAAATTTTTAATGAAATAATTAATTTTTCAAAAAATGACCTATGTAATAAGTGTTTGCATTGTATATTTCAAATTAAATTATTACATTAACCATCATATATTTTGACTCTTTTTTTTGGAATAAAATTACTGCCGAACTATTTATTTTAAAATAGTAACCTAAAAGGTCATCCATTTCAGTGTGTTCAATTGAGATATTTAAAAATACCTGTTGTATTTTTCAAAAATTGTTTTATTTTTAAAAATAAAAAAATACAAATTGCTTCTAAAATTTCAAATTTCAATTAAAAGTTTGAAAAATTAATGAGGTATTGGTTAAACTAATTTTTGAAATTGAGGTTTCTGATTTCTGTCAATCTGTTGACGAGATATTCCATTTTTAAGTATTTATAGATAGGGAGTAGTGGAATATCATTTGTATAATGGAGTGACATGGGGCATTTTAAGTTTAAATTTCAAAATCTATTCAAATGAATACAGTATTAGTTTGTATTCCACATATTTATAGAATTTTTAATATAAGTTGTTTAAAAAATTAAAAGTGGATATTCGATTCACTTAAAATTAAGAATGACATCGTGTGTATGTAGCAATTTAAAGCCGCTTGTTTCCTAAATTATCAAAAAAATCAATACTTTTCGAACTATCGAGTGTAGAAACCTTAAAGTCTGTATATTTAAAATTACGCAAACAGATAAATTTTAAGGTTAAATAAATTTTATTTCCGGTAACCCGTACAAGTGATTTCCTACTTTTAAGTTTGAAATCACGCCGCCGCTAAGATACAAACGATTTGTTTTATATCGATGAATTCGGTATACTCAACTGACCTATCAAAAATGTTAAAAATAATTTAACGACATCAATCAAATCTGTGACCAATATTGCGCAGGTCTATTAGGTACCTTCGAATTCGGCGCTCGTCTCGTGGACCACGTTTGCGATCACTTTGGGTTTTACGATTGCTATCGCGATCACGGCCACGTGACGCACGGGATCGGTGTTGTTCATTGTGTACAACTACGAAGTTAGTCGCTTGTGGACGCGACGCACGCGTTAATCGTCACGTTCGGTACGTGGCACTGTGCTCCCATCAGCTTGCCGTCACCGGTGCCCAAGGGTTTTTCAACGTCTTCGCCTTGGGACGGAACGCGTTCGACCGCGGTATACCGCAGCGGTGTCGGCGCGCGTCGCTACCGCCATCACGGTCACAGCGTTTTTGTACTTCAACGCCACTGTCGTTTCGATAATCACTAAATACTACGTAGTCCCGAAAACAATCTCTAGATGACAATTTGATTACGAGAATAACACCTTATGTTGTTATTATTCTTATGGATTTACGAGACGGTCGCTTTAGCCGTTTAAGCTTAATTGAGCCTAAATCCTTAAGTGCACCATTTAGATAATCGATTTAATTAAGTATTTACTAATGCGTCATTAACATAATTTCTTATTCCGTATACTTTAGAATAAATGTTTGATGAAGATAAAATAAATTCAATAAATTATGTTGATAAAATGTTTCATGTTTCATGTTGATTTTTGTGCTATCCCCGGCGCATCACAATTTACAACTTGGTAAATCGTATTTTAGATTTTGAATGTAGCGAAAAACGTATTGGCATTACATTTTTTTTTTCAGTAAACACTATTTATACGTTTGCTTTTTTAAAGCTTACTCCGATGTATACTATACAGACCCTTTTCCAAAAAGAAATGTTCTTAGGGTGGTACTTTACGGATATAATTATTCGATTTTTTCAGGAGTTTTCTTAACAAATGTGAAAATTCGAAAGAAAAAACCTGAGATAAAACAGTAAAACCGGTACAATATTAAAAAAGAGACTATTCAAGATAATATATTATGCTTATTTAGTTATTTTACCACAATATTTATTTATTTATTTATTTATTTATTTATATGATATATATTTTGTTGACAAAACATCCCTATTAGCTGAACTCCGCTCAGATTCGTTTTTAAGTTAGCAATGGTTTATCATTGCTCACAAATAAACATTAAATTCCATTCTGTATCCTACCTTTCAAACTTTCCACCTAAAACAATGGCTATATCCGTTCCCATTATCTTTGGACAGCTTTTTTATTTACCGCGGTGAACAATACGTTTCACTTTATATCTATACCACGCACAGATTAAAGTCTAATATTCCGTAACAAAAATATTCTTAAAGTGCGATAAATTCCTAAGAACTATTATTATTATTATTGTATTTTTTTTTTTATAGAATATTCCTAACTAATATTTACTGATCGATAAAAATTCTTTAGATTGAAAAACAGCTTTCTTCAAAATTTCTATGCCCACTTATAAATAAATATTTGAAATAATCGTTCACAAATCACCAGGGGGGAGGGGGTAAATTTTCGCGATTACGCCAGACGTAATTACATAATAAATTCATTTATCTACAAAATGTGTAATGCGTACTTTCAGACAAACACTGTTTTCAAATGTATTTTTAACCGCATGTTTTTCGGCGTGCAATTATAATGATATTATGTTGTTTAAAACTAGGAAGAAATATGACGACGTTTTAAATCGAAAAATCTTGTTTACGTTGACGGCTCAAATAACGCGTGTTATAATATCCGGGGGCCAGAGTCCTTCGTTCTACTACACGTCATTTGTAATAAAAAATTATTGAATTCCCGACTGTCGATAAGACGGACAGATTTTAACTACACCGTTGTAGACGACAACAACATAATATCTTGGACGATAATACGTCAGCATATTTTCAGTAATCGGTAAGTATAATATAATATTATACACGTGACAGTTTTGCGGTTAAGAAGGTGTTTGTAATAGTATATTGTCCATGTTATTGGACGCTGTACTTCTAATTTTTGTGTTACTCTGATATATTTCATCGTGTGCGAAAAAACGAATCCGGTGGTGGGAATTCATAAGTGACAAAGAAAAATAATGTAGTTATAAAACAAGTGAAAGTAATGGTCATGAGGAATGTCGAGAGAAATATGAATGAGATGTGGAAACGGAAGGCCATCACTTGTGTTAAAAGTACCGCAAAGAAGATCGTTGACCGGAATAGAAGTAGTATACCAGATTACGCACCCTTTAAGTAATAATATTAATATTTTTATACCAAAATTATCAAAACAATCTGTACATAGCATATCGGTAGAGCGTTTACACGCGATTTTAACAGAACATATTGTACAGACCTACGGGTTCCCTAAACTCGGAATTCTTCCATAAATTCAACTTCAATAAAAAAAATTGAAAAAAAAGCGGTTCATGGACTTGTTTCACTTGTTTGATACATAGGTATTATAATGGAATAATATAATGTTTCGAAAATGGCTGGACCGATGGCTCTGATATTTTGCTACTATATTGTATATAATAATACGATTTTCTAATTACGAGTACGATATTGATAATTGCATTTGTTTCTTGTTTAGAAGAAAACCCAAATTTTAGATCTACATGTGATGTTGGCAACTTTTTTATTTAGTGTTGTTAATCCAATATAACAAATGAAAAGGGCAAAAAATAACAAAATACATTTTACAGGACACTATTATCTAGAGGAGAAATCAGATATAGCGGAATAAAATTTCTATTTTACTGAATGAAAATAAAATAAATGGTTTTCCAATAATATTCTCGAATCGAATTTCGTATCTCGTATGAAATTCGGAAAAACAAATTATTTTGTGTCCTTTATAAGGTAAAAAAAATTCCAATTTCGCCCCGCGTGTTATTTTTCCACAGTTTTCAGATACCTTTCAAAAATTTCGTTTCGTTTAAAAAAAATGTATTATTTATAACGAAATACATTCTATATCCATGTAAATAGTTATTACTTCTCGTATGTTAATACTGCGAGTATAACCCTAGGCTAAGTATCGAATGGGTATACAAGGATAGGTTCTTATTTGCAATATTTGAATTTGGTTAGTAGGGTTGAATTCTATTACCTATGATCAGTTATCCCTGCCTATGGCCACTGGTTTTTATTTTATTCGTAAATAGTGGAATTTTGTAATTTTAATATTCAACATGGTTATTATTCTATTCGTCTACATTAATTTATTTACTGAGCAATATCATTTGTTTCAAAAACATGGATGACATAGAATAGCTTTATATATTTGATAAAATGTTTGGCCGTGTGTACCGAACTTATTTTTAAAATGTTTAAATTCAAACTATGGATTGGCAACTTTATAATGAACGGTTACGGTTGAATCTTTTTAATAACCATAAATAGATTAAATAAAAAATAAATAGAAAAAAATGCTCTACTAGGATAATGGGGAGCAGCTACTATTGTAGGTGGGAAGTTGGAAAGGTAGAATATAGACGGGAATTTAGTATATATCTAAAGGCAACGATAACCATTGCTAACGAAAAACTATTCTGAGCAGAGTTTAATTGATAGTGTTGCTTTGTCAATAATATATGTCATACTATGTTAAAACAATTGCATATAATATTGTTTAATATTGTACCTATTTTGCCGTTTTTCCTACGTTTATTCCCGGTTTTTCCCAATTATTGGGAAAACTCCTAGGAAATCCTAAAAATGATCTCCTTAAAGTACCACTGCAGTCAAATTTCCTTTCAGAAACAGTGCTAACGTTGTAAATCTGAGCAAAATTTCTGGTAGAAAAGTTGTTCACAAATTAGAAAAATAAATCATTCATCAAAAACATCATTTTAAAACCAATACATTCCTCGCTCCACTCAGAATCTAAAATTCTCGATGATGGCCATAGGTGGCGAGTCCATTATAACACCTGATATACGCATTACGGATTTAATAGATTTGTTTACGGAATGAAGATTGAAATTTCGTATTTAAAAAGGAATATTTATTATACTGTATAACGAAAAATATTACGGCAATGACTGTGTGGTATAACGGCTCTGACGAATTGATAAGATATTTGCCGAATCCCAGGGACCGGCGTATGTATTATTCATACTTCCTTTGTAATTCATTAGACGAAAGAATGATGGATTTAATAATTTCTCATGCAGTTACACACAGGGCTGTGTAAAGTCCTGCAGATACAAGTTGTATCACACAACATTATATATAAATATATAATTTGATAACGTTAAAAATGAATACAATATTACAATAACATGATGTTTTTTCCCCTTAAATTTCTTTTATTTATAATATAATTAACGATTATTAGGTAACATGTTTAAAAGTCTGATAGAAGACGTATAATAATAATAATAATAATAATATAGAAAAAACAAATCAAATAGATAAACAGTTTAAAAGTTTACAACTAGGTTATTTTTTTTTATATATACATAAAACAATATATTGTTATAATATGTTAATAATAATAATAATAATAATAATAATAATAATAATAATAATATATTTCGAAACAACATAATATTATTCTCGTGTCCGCGGTACGACGACAAAAGTTGTTCGAATGTGAACTGTGCGCATGCATAACAATATTATTATATCGGTTTAGTACGAAAATCACAAATTTAAAAAAAAAAAAAAATCTAATTGTTTTTTCTACGGCTGGCGTTTCGTCGTGTTATCATAATTATTGTTATTTTACGATGTACATGTATCTGCCGCAGAATACACGATGTGTTCAATATTGTCCGTCTCCGTCTCGCGATCATAACCGACACAACAGTGATAAAATTACCACAGGTGTAATCGGTGGTGTCCCTGTTTAATACTCTCGACATTTTGCTGTTAAATCGCGTGTATACCGCGTAGGTGTGCTCTCTCAAATAGTTTCAACGGTTAAAACAGTCGAATAATAATAACGGGGAAAGGGGGGAGGAGAAACTAATTTGTCATGATAATATATTATTGTATCATTGGCCGTTCGTAACCCGTCTTCTGACCCTAAAACCATAATATAGTCAGTGCCGTAACTAGAATTTCCTATGCCCGTGGCAAAATATTTTACCGACTCGGTACCGACGAGCAAAAACAAAAAAAAGTCTGTCCGATAATACCTCGAGTGGGTCTTGCCCACTCGTTATTTTCGCTACTGAATATAATCGATTATACATTTTTTTATATTTCAATAATTACGACTGAAAATTCGCGATATCCTTACGGTTTAAAATGCTTCGTTTTGTAGTTTTTTTTTTTTTTAATTTTGAGCGTTTTAACGCGGAAATTTCAATTCGACTGTCGTAAACCGTTATTTGTATCCCTATTAACGGTATGAACCATCGCGAGGAATATACACAACACGTTATCAGTGAATACTCTTGAAAACATTTTGCGGGAACACCGTCGCCGGGTATAAGGTGTTATAATAATATGAAAACCGATACGGAGCGGAGACGCGACGATTTCGGCCTCGGGCATGGATCCCTCTCTCTACAGTCCACGACCGCGGGCGAGGATATTGCGATTCCGGAACGTGACGCACGCCTATCCGTGACGATACCCGCGTATCCTTTTCGTCATTACGTTCGCGCCGAAGTCCTTCGTTTTTCGAACAATAACAATAATAACGATAACGTCGACGAACACAATACAATAATATTGAATTACGTAGGCGTGTTGTAGCCGGGGAAAAGTCTGCGACTTTTGTTATCGTATCGCACATTATAATTGTTGATATTATTCTGTCGTATTTGGAGACGCGAAGGGTAACCGTATAATAACGCACCAAGTATATAAAGGCTACAAACTACGTACGAGTAAGTATAATAGTAATATAGAGAGTAAGTTTAAATATAAATATCGACTATTTTTTTTTTTTTTTTCAAAACTATTTTCTATAAAACTAGGGAATAAATTCGTACTATATTACACATTATTACATAATTATAAATATATAGAATATTATAAGTTATCCGGTCTGTTGCGTATTAATATGTAAAAGTGTTGGATGCAAATTTTATAAAAAAAAAAAAAAAAACAAACAAACAAACAAACAAACAATAGGTATTAATAGTAATAACAGTAATAATCGTCTAAATAAATAAATGCGAATATGCGAATAGTATGCAACGACAAAACGATATTTTCAATGTCCAACTGTTTTCGCGAGAGCGCGGTCCGGTTGAATGATAATAATATTATAGGTACTTATAATGTTGCGCAGAAGAGCAGATTCGCGATCGTTTTGTTATTACGTTTGCGGAAACGAATTTTTCGGGTATTACAGGTACAACGAAAAATACGGATATCATTATGTATTATCGGTATAATAATGTTATTGCGCGAACGGCCATTCGGATAAAACAACCGAATCGACAAAAACGTTAAATATGCTTGTACAACGGGTGTCGAACGACGCGACAAAATAAACAAGCGGATTAATTTGTTTTTTTTTTTTTTGCTGACTTTACGTCTTTGTCTGCCGAACGTTCGTTATGGTTGGCGCGCCGTCGTCGGGAATCGTTCATATAATCGGCTGGAACGTTGATGAATGTACAAAACAAAAATAAAATAATTACGCGAATAAAAACGCGATCGTCGAAATGTCGAAATTCGACGCGTTTTTCAACATTTTGTAATGCGTTCGCCGTATAACCGTAACGTGACGCAGTGGTTCTACACGACATTTTGTAGTCTGCGGCTCCCCCATAATGTCACCGGGCCTTGTGGCTCATTCGTATTCGTTTGGATCTATTATATATGTAAACGCGATCGATGACGATAAACCGATAAAAGAAAATTACCCGATGGCTTAAGTATTGGCGACGCAGTTGAGAAACATCGGCATTACTCATCTACTGAGCGAATTTTCTTCGGATAAACGGACATTTGGTCTTACGCAGTTATTACGACGACGGGTTTTCGGAGATTAACGAAAGAAACTGCAAAAAAAAAAAAACACAAAAAAACTCGCTGAAATCGTTGAAAACCGTTCGAGAGGGAAAACGGACGGTATAGCGTTCGGAATTATATTATTGTTGTCGGTCGTTCGATTCTAGTATTAATTGGAGAATTTTTTATTCAATTTAATTAAGAAAATTGTTATGTTAAATTATGATTTTGGGTTGGGTTTTTTCTTTGTTAATTTTTTTTTTCACCCTCCATTGAGAAACCTAACGCCACCGGTTTGCGCTTATTTCACTTGTTTAATCGCGTAATAAACTATATTATCTACATACCTATAAATTGTACATGAGTATACAATATTTTCACCACACCCCTCCCACCCCTTTGAAACGACGATTATTATCATTGCTATAATATATTATATACGAAAAACATTTCTTTCGGGCAAAATATTTCATAGTGAGTTTTTCTTAAATTCGTATTTAACAATAATTAATAAAAAAATCAGATGTATGCTTGCGAGATTTGTCGTTCGATTACGGTTATCCGAAATAGAAATCATTCGCCCCACTCGTCGCGCGCAGTAAAACAATGTTATTATTGTAAAATATAATAAAATACGATAAAAATACACATAAATTATACATTAATATTATAAAAGTAACAAAATTGATATGATCAATACAAAATCAAACGTGGAAACGTATAAAACAAAAAAAAAACGCGGCGAACGATGTACAAACATACGGACAGGACGTTCGCATAAAATTACTCGTATAATAATATATTGAAATTTGCATCCGAGCGATTTATAGAATTATAGCGATTGATAAAAACAATAACGATAATATCATGTTTATGACACGAGCGTTGTAATATTATGCGGAGAAAGCCGGAAGCAAATTGTCTAATCACTCGTTATAGGTGTGCCCGATAGCGTCAAAGCGTTTATTTTTCGTCCGAAATTGAAATTAGCGAATAAAATACGTTCTTAAAAGGTACCTGTACGGGAAATATTATATTCTTAGATCATTTTATGAAAACAGTTTGCTCTCGGCCGTCCCTATAGTGTGTGCTTTAGTGTGTGTGTGCGTGTGTATGTGTGCGTGCAGTGTACTCGGTGTGTGGGCACGATTCCGTTTGAAATTGAGTATAATTATTTCCGAGTGGAATTCAGAAGAATTATCGAGAAAAAAAAAAAAAAATTCGTAAAATACATAATACGCGTTATCATAATTGCATGCAGTTTGTTTCGATTATTTTTAAACGTATTATTCCGTTAAGTTATGTATATGCAAAATTTTTTATTATAATAAGGCACGTAAAAATAATTATTAAAGAAAAAAATTGCAATGTATTAATATATTATAATATATGTAAATATGTATGAAATATAATATTATAATATATGGATAGTATTATAATTTTCCGGTATGTTATAATAAATTGTACGTATAACGTTTTTTAAACAGATTACACAGCCTAAGTACAATATACGAATATAAGTTTTATTATTATTATTATTATGTAATATTGTTTATTTTCTTTTACGGATAGTATATTTTTTTTTTTTTTGGACCGAATTGTCCTTGTTTTCGAAAGCGTAATTATACGATAATAATATTATAGTTGGTATAACATAGTATATTATAATATATGACATGCCGAAAATTGGAACACTTAAAACACTATCGTAATTCACTACATAAATAATGTTTATTATATTATTATAAATCTAAAAAAAAAAAAAATCGAAGAAAATGGGTATAATAGTATTAAAATATTATTTCGTAAACGAAACGTATAAATATTCAAAAAACCTACACAATATTATAAGTATAGTATAGTTATATGTTAAATTATATTATATATTTTACTGTGTCCGGTTAGCTAAAAAAAAAGAAAAAAGAAAGAAGGACACCTAATAAATTCTGAAAAAAGTCGACTGTTTTGGCCTGGTTAGGAATACGAAATTAAAGGGATGAGAATTTCTCGCTCCCGAAAATAACAAACCATTAAACGGGAGCTAGTCGAAATTAACCGGATAGTCAGCCTGTTAGTAATATTATAGTAAATGTTTATAAATTACTCTAAATGTCGTTTTAATTATTCTACACCCTTTTTTCGTGGGTGAATACCGTCCAATCCCACACACACACATTTATTATCTGAAAAAAAAAGAAAAAAAAAACATTATTGCGTTTAAAAGAATTCTGTAAAGTGAAATTCGTTGGGTTATTAAGGGAACAAATATGAGCATATAATATATCCAAAGGATAAATGCGTGAAGAAAAAAAGAAAAATTGTATAACAATTTTAGTTACAAAATTCGTTCACCATAGCGTAAAGCTCAAATAGAAAGTCTAAAAGGGATTTTACCCTTCTCCAAATTCAGTTCTTATCATTTGAACTTTAAGTGTACATAATAAATATAAAGGGAACTTAAGCCTCCGCTCCCAAAAATATTTTTGCGTTTTTTGCGTCGAAGTTACATTGAAATTATATACTTTTTTTTTTTTTTTAAAAAAAACTTATAATCTAGATATTATTAAATGTTAGAAAGTTGAATACAAATTGAAACATTTTTTTCGTAATTTTTCGATATAGTTTAATCGTTATAAAATATTCAAACGGCTGAACAGGGATGAGAATAATATAAATAGAAATCGATTTTGAGTACGATAATAGTTATTATTTAAAAACGATTGCCGCAGTCGGACAAAAGTTCATGGCGGTTCTGAACGATAGTGTATTTAAGAAAATATTACCTGTTCCAATCAAAGTGCAAGGAAAAAAGTGGGTGTTTGTGTGTGTGTGTGTGTGGAAATGCCTGAAAATGGCAAGTTTGAGATTATATACATACATTACACGAACGACATTTGAAAAAGAAGGCATATTTCGAACGTTTAAGATTTTTCTAAATGAAAAAAAAAACCCGTTTTTTGACCAGTTCGAATTTCGTGACCGATTGGGTTATCAGAAATTTTCGGGAAGCGGACCCCCGGAGGTTGGTTTGCTAACCACAGACGGGCTATGGAGGTATTAGGTAGGTATAGGTACTTAATTAAATAATATTATATAAATGTAATTAATAATATTAATTATTCAACAAATTTAACACAATTTTTCAAAATTATTTTACATTACAATTCGATTGAAACCAGTCTTGCCACAACAATAAAACAAACCAACAAATATAATATATAAGAAGCTTAATATATTATATCCTTTGGTAAAAACAAATATTTGTATATATAACATAAAAATTGTATTTTTTTTTTTTTTTTTTACCTACACCGCATTTGGGCATAGTAAGTATTATATTTAGAGTCCTTTGTCACGTCATGCAGTGGCGTTAAATGAAAAACCGAGACGAATAATAGTGTAGTATACCGCGATAATGATGACGTGTCACGTTAAACGAACGGCAATTGCTTTTGAAATCGGTTTTATGGATAAAACACCCATTATATGTTAGGTTGATGACGACATTTCGGTGATGACGTCGTCGGCGTTTTTCGAAAACTGTTTAAAATAGTTATAAAAAAGGTATGATTATTTATATAAGATAGTATAAAAAAAAATTTTAAGTAAAATTTTTTCTACGTTCGATAATAAATTGAATATTATTTAGAAAATTCTAAATCGCCAATGAGTTTATCTCATAAACGTTATCGTCTAAAGTATTTTGTTTTATAGGTGTTTTATCTTGAAACCGATTTTAAATGCTTTTCGTTTGTTTCACGTGACCGAGTTTTTGTTTTCCACCTTTAAAAACATAAAAAAAAAAAAACAGGCTACAAAATGCCACTGCAAAAGTCTCTTAATAATTGTTTGACTACCGCTACAAGTTCCAACAGTTTTGTGTTGGCCAAGAAAAGGAATTCTCTTTTTTTTTTTTTTGGCAATCCGAAGCTTTGTAATGAAATAATGCACAGTATTGAACGTCGCCGTAGTCAATATAGTGGAATTGAACTCAATATCATAGGGCGTTTCGTAAGGTTTTCTGTGTTCAAATAAACACGCATTAAACCCATTGGACACCCAGTAGAGTAAAATTTTGCTTACTGCAGTGTGTCCACTAAAAAAAAATAAATATAATTAGTCGATTTTGTAACAAAATACAATTATTTATTTAGGAAACGCTCTCTTTAGAAGGGGGGGAAGTAAAGGTGAAGTTTTAGTCTACCTGCTCATGGAGCTTTTTTTAAGGGATAGGGAGGTAAGCTTAGGTTAGGTTAGGTACACGTAGTGGATATTCACTAAACATTGTCCCGCAAAGTAAAATGTACATAGTGTGCACGTCAAAAACGTTCCCTTATTAAAAAATAAACCTTACACGCGTTTTAATATGAACGTTTTTTTCGAAAACTCGACTATGTTATTAAAATAATATGCTCGTTGCTTCCTGTAATATAAAACCATAATAAAAAGGTTCATAATTATTACTGAAATTTTTCATCGAATAAAATAGGATAGGTGTACTAATATACTATTATTGTCTATAAGATTTGAGTTTTGGTTTTTTGGCAATTCGAATAATGTGTTAAAACACTATAATATTACATTGATTTTTTTGAGGGCGTATACTTTTTTTTTTTTAGGAATATCCTTGAATAGTTCATTATTGTTACGTTTTTTTTCTCTTACAAGTACGTTTTTTATTAGAATATATTCCATATTATAAGTTTGATAAGACAATAAAAAATGTTTTAAAAAAAAAACAGATGAATAAATTAAAATTTTTTAGATAAACAGTGCGTTTGACAGTATAAATATTTAAAGGTAAATCGAATAATATTATTATTATAATTGCGTAATAGTATAATTCTGACTCGTAGCTTTTTCAAACAATAATATAACGGATTTCGTAAATATACAGTATAATATAACATACACGACATACGACTGAGAAGCGAACAAGTAAATATATACACGCGGTTGTATTATAAATACAGGTAGGTAATTTATTTTACAGACGGATTTTTGACGAAAAACGAGAAATACGATTTCGGACGCGAACTTTTTACGCCCGTCGCCGTTTTGATCGCGTGACGTCTTTCGTTTCGAGGTCGGGAAATATCGAGTGGAATTTTTACCGCGCCGAAAAAAGCCTACAAACGTGCCTGCATATAACAGGACGATCGCGTTTTGCTCCCGGGACGTATGATTTATTTCAGTTTTGCGGTGCGGCGATATCGCGTGGACGGTTTTCCTCCCGAATGCGGGGAAACGGCCGTTTCTGCAAATCGATAATAATAATAATAATAATAATAATAGTGAAAAGTCTAACGCCCACCCGCAGTGCTGTATAGTTTTGAAAAGGAATCGACGACGTCAACTCGTGTTATTATGTGTATGTGTATGTGTCTGTGTCTGTGTGTGTGTGCTCGCGCGCGCGTGCGTGTGCACACTGTACGCATTACCTACCTATATTTAAAATCGGGGTCGGGGCTCAGAATTCGCCTATATGCTTTGCGGTTCGTCGTACGTGGGAAATCTAACGGAGCCCCGGCATTATAAACGTTTATCAGGTCGTCGTCACGGGCTGCGTATTTTATTTTATTTTTCTGTCCGGTCGTAAAAAACGTCCGGACTAACGCCGAGACGGGAACGCGTCGAAAATGTCCTGCACGTTCATAATATATTATGATAGCAAAACAATAATAAATTTGCGTATAATATCCGAAGCTTTTGATTCAACGTAACGCAAATGTTATTGTAATATTATAATATTGTTCGGTCGTTCAGCGACGTTTACATGGCGTGCCTGTTTTCGCGAACTGCGTTTTTATCGTATCGATTTAATTTTATAATAATGTATTGAAGAAAATATTATCTTATCGGTTAAATTGTATTTTTTTTTTTATTTATTTATTATTAAAAATTAAAAGATAGTGGGTCTCGCTGAATAATCTCGTGTGGGAGCCCACGAGTAGTCGCTTCGGTAGCCCGAAAAAATCGATTTCATAATAAAAATCATTATATTGTAAATTTTAGTTTTTTTTTTTTTTTTTTTTTTTTTTTTTTTATGTCTTATTTTCTTTTTGTTTTGAGTTTTTACATCCTTATTTACAACAAAACGCACGAGTCTCTGCGGGAGCGACAGGATAGGAGAAGGTTTTGTGGTTAAATTATTATTTTTTTCGTCACGATCAGTCAATCTATAATATTGTAATTATGACGTATTTAAACATATCCTGTCTAATCGTCCCATTTCGGGAAGGCAGACGGCGAAACGAACAGATTGCTGTCGTTGCTGGCGGGCAGCGGCTCCAGGTTGGTCGGCCTCTTGGGTTCGGTATTCGTCTGAACGCCGGCACGGATAGGAGCGGCGGCCGGAGTGGTGGGAGCGGGAGCAGGAGTGGTGGTGATGGTGGTGGTCATGGTGGCGGTTCTAGCGGCAAAACTGCAGGAAGCGGACGACGGCTGGGCAAGAGATCTCGGCGGGATCCGAGTTTCCGGTTTCGGCGTTTGCGATTTGATTTTCAGTTCTATACTCTCGTCCTCATCTACCTGCGGTTCCAACGCGCTGTGCTTGATACCGTAATAGAAATAAACGAACAGACCTACGATAAAAACAAAAAAAAAAATAAAAAAACATAAATTTCAATAATTATAACAGTGACAGTAAAGCATGTATAGTATATAAAGTACATTATTATAATATATTATCATGTTATCGTTATCTCCGTCCACGAAAGTATGTAAAATATTAAATGATAAAACAATCATAATACGAACGGCCTATTTAATATTATAGAGCGTCGCTTATTATCAACACGAACTAACTCATATTTTGGTAAAATTGAGTTAGTGTCGGAATTTTATTTATAACTACGGTAGTTCTCTCTCTTTAATGCGCGTAATAAGAAAATAAAAGTATGCGCATAACCTCAAATATTATGCTTCGTCCTCGGTTATGTTCGGGACCTCCGGCCAACTTCATTCGCTCGCAATGCGAGTTCACGTCGGAACATAATCGGAAATATTAAATAACCCTCGGTTTATTATGCAAAGCTACGTTGAATAGGTCGCATGGGAAATTGATTTCGTTGCTTTCGCGTATTTCTGCTTTTTTGTCAGAACACGGGAGGGGGGAGAACTGCCCGAGTCCCTCGCGATTAATCATTCAGCGTGTTAAAGTTTGTGATGATTTGTCAAAATAAAACTTTATAATGGAATATTTGGTAACGTAGTATATAAAAAATTTAAAAGAACGCGGCCAATCAATGCATAGACCGATGGATCTCACGCATAGAATTTAAGAAAATTGGATACGTTGTCTCTATATGTGTTTTTTCTTACTGGAAAGTTTAAAAACAATACACGCATTGTCGTATCGTAGCAGCTAGTGTACATTTGACAAACAAAAAAAAACAAAAAAAATAGCCAGTAAACAACCAAATAATATGTATAATAGTTTTACTCAGTGGCGTGTCGAGGAATTCTCGGAATTTCGGGTTCGTCGTCGAGTATTTGACACTCATATAACATTATTGTTTTTTTTTTTTTTTTCAAATCTCATTATCCCGGAAAGTAATATTGACTTTACGCGCAATCAAAGTTATTACCTATATAAAAAACGATTAGATTGTGCCGAATTTACGAGCAAATCTGAAGCCGCACAACCGCACGGTACCAAGACAGAGAGGGCAAATTTTATCGATTAATCCGTGAAATATTTGTTTATTCCTCGACATACGCGATAACATGGAAAATATTGTTTTTGAAATTGATTGCAATTCGCTTCTATCGCAAACTACACAGCGTTATTCGTGTAGGGTTAATCGATACAATTTTCCGTCTTGGTATATGGCCGCTGAATCCATGCATCTAACACGGGATTCTACCGCGCGGTCGACTATTTACTCGGTTTTAAAACCTATATTCATACACGAAATATTCTCCGAGTGTACATTATCCTTGTTAAATTATTTACCGCTTTTGGTGGTCAGGGTTAGAGAACATAATATTGCACGGTAAATAAGTGGCCAACCGTTTAATTAATTATGATAAGTTGACCCGTTATCTATATCCATAAACCGCCGTTTCGTAAAGGTATATGTATCCACTGTTACGATTTATGTTAGTAAACATTTCAAAGTTTTGCCCTAAAAAATAACGTAATTTTTCATACGACTGCGTCTCGATAATAAAATATAACGTAAGCATAATACATGATCTATATAATTTATCACATTAATTATGTATAGTGTTCTTATAGTTTTTCAACGTATTACAGTATAATAATAAACTTGATCACTGAACACGGTTGTAGGTACATACTTGGAGGTTGCTGTGATGAAGCGGAACCGGTGAACGGGCCGGATGTTGTTTTTAAAAAAACCGTTAACACGTAGGTATTTTAGTGGGCTGCGGTTGAATTACTATATCTAGGTGCAGCCCAAATGTACGGACTAAGATAGAGAGGACCGGAAACGAGCGCATTTTCAACGGGCCCGAAGTGACTCTACTGAGATAGTTTGATACACGGCGGACATCTACCACTACCTGTCGGCTGGGTGGATAGGTTGTATAGAATATACGTGTTCTACGTATACTAATCGGTGGTATGGAAATATATAAGACACCGGAATGTCCCCACACCCCGGTCACCATTATGTTTCCAGTTATTTATATCTCAGCCCGTGATCGAACCGCACGGGTAATAGATGGCCGAACGACATCAATAGGTTTTATAAAATACGGTCGACGGTGCGTAAAAGTAAATTCCGATTGCGGGCGGGTGGATAGCGCTACTGCAGAATCACGCGGTTTTTGTTACGTGGACACATACAGAAACTTGGCAGAAAATCTACAATTTTCGATACCCAGTATCGATACCACGATATATTGTCGACGGTTTTCTCGATACATCTAGAAAAAACATGTTACCTACCCAAAATAACATTATAATATACTCGCCACTACAAAAAAAAAATGCATACACTGGTGAAGTGTTCTTATATTTGAGGAGAACAACTTTTTAAAATAATCGAATTACACGCTGTGCGGTGTTAACGGCACAGGTTTCCATGTATAAAAGGTCGGAGTACACAATATACGAGTAATCGCACCGTACCCGATCCAAGTGTCTGCGTTTAATATACTAAAAGCAAGTATGGTCGACGTTGAAAAATTAATCGCAGGAATTCGAAAGTTTCCAGCCCTCTACAACCAAACTTGCAAAAAGTATGGGAACGCCGTGAGAGCAAAGACAATAGAGTATCGTGGAAAACTCCCGTTCAATGATTCTTGACTTCCGAGCATTGCGTAACCACGCAATTTTTTTTTCTCGCGTGTTAACCTCTTTATTTCTCGTTTTCTCTCAACGCACAGCGCTTTAACTCATTGTTTTTTTTTAAAAATTGTCAACATAGTTTCCACGTCCGCTCCAGACAAAATGCTGATACAATCCGATACAGCGAACGCCGGTAGGAAAACGGCTAGGACGAGGCACGGTCGAATTATGGACGGGTGTGAAAACGGCGCGTACGACGCGTGTCTCAGTCTACACTCGACTGACACACGCGCGGTTCGGGTACGATGCGGTTATGTGTGTCCCGACTTTAACGCGTCATAAATTTAATTTATTTTACTCTGGTGAATATTGGTGATTTTCAAATACAAATGATATTAATAGTATACCGGTTGGTCGGAGCCTGAGATATGTGCGCACGACGTCGCCGCTTTCAATAATATTTATGTCCTATTATGAGATGTTAAAAATAAGTGCTTAAGAATTTTGATGGCCCTCGAAAAATGTTCAGATCCCTAATGCGGCTCTTCAAAAATATTAATTGTAAAGTACTGCCGCCCACGACCGCGTCACCGGAATATCCGACAGCGTCTAGGCCGCAACGTCAGGGGCGAAAATAAAGGTGGCTGGCCGTTCGACAATATTATCGAGTTATTATTATTACTCGGTGCGTTCAGGACTGTTTAATATAATATAAGATACTTGATTGATTTTTTTTTGCGTTTTTTTTTCGTGAAAAACGGGAAGCCGCGCGCCGCGGGGATTTCGAAATATTCTGCGGACGGTACGCTCGTTGAATTATTTATAATAATTATTATATAGACGCGGGGTAAAGATTTTAAAACCCCGGCGGCGGCTGCGTAATAATATATGCGTGCACCTAATAATGAATTACGCGGACCGGATAAAAGATAATATTCCGTGTGTCGATCCGATTCGATTTCCGGTCGGCTGAATTATGCCGACCTATTATCGCGCAGTTTTATCGATTCGTCGCGCGAGTTTTCCGCCCTATCCCCGGACGAACGTCCGGACGTTTCGAATAAATAAGGAGAACGTCTCGGGGAAGTGGACGAACGACATCACGTGTAATCGGAAATTCGTATAGGTTTCTTCGCGAGGGTCCGGCAAATACGGCACACAACAAAACCCGTTACGGGAAACGATTATATTGTTATTAATATTGTATCCGTACTAACGAAAATAAACGCAGCTGGTCGCGGTCTTATAAACAACGACCGGATGAATAATAATTATTGTTATGTAAATACCGTAGTAATGCGCCGAGCGCGTGCGGAATACCCCTCGCGCGTTTTACTTATTATAATTCCGTCGGGTAAATAATATTGTTTTATTACAGACTGCACGGACAAATTTTCGTTGACGGGAGAGTGTGATGTTATTATTATAGAAATCGACCGAAATTCGTTATACTGTTACCGATGTCGAACAGTATTGCACCGGCGGCGCCACCGAGAGGGTGGTCTGGACCATAGCAGAACGATGGCTCGGACCGTTTGAATGGTTAAA